AAGGCTTGTCTAAATGACAATAAATCTTTTTTATTTATTCTATTTGCGATTTTTTTATTAAGACCTTCAATACATATTTATATTTAATTACTCTTGTAAATATTGATTACTTAATCAAACGACATTATGCAAAATTACCAAGAGTTAAAAATAAAAATATCGAATATTGCCAATAAGGTAGAGCCATGCTGCAGCTATATTAATAGTATAGTTGTAACATGAATGGGTCAGCTCGACGGGGAAGGACCACGCTCTCACAGAATACCAGCGTCAAATAGCAGATGCTGTGTTTCGAATGGTGAGTGTAGAGAACCGGAGACCCTTTTTACTGGAAAAGAGGCATTCTATCTTAGTCCTCACGGTTGACAACACATTGCAGTTTAATCCGCAAACGATGATAGATGTAGATGTCTATGGGCCACAGCAGCCACTTACCATCAGGTGGACTGTGTGCTCGTTTGTCACCCTTATTCTATGAAAAAAAAAACATTACACGGCATTTTTTCTTGCAAATTAATTAATATAATTCTATAAAATATAATTTCATGACTTCGTAATCCATCACCAATGAAAATACTGTACGTGGTAGAACCACATTGCTATATTATGATTACAGCACGAAAGGGTCGGCTCGACCATGCTCTCAGAATACCAATTAAAAATAACAGCTTAATGCTGGTGAGTGTAGAGAACCAGAAATCCTTTTCACTAGAAACAAGGTACATACAAAAAAATGGAATCTAAAACCTCAGAAGTGGCAACGCATCTGCATTTTGATTCCTGTTCGAAGATGGATGTAGATGTCTATGGGCTGCAGCATCCACTTAACATCGGACGGACTGTGTGCTCGTTGTCACTCTTATTGTAAAAAGAAATAATAAATTACCCGAGTAGCATTTCATTTTATTTAAGATTTCTTTAGATTTAAGTTTAAGGCATCTGCAATCATCCTTGTTGGAAGTCCATGGGCGGAAGCGGCCATGTGCCATCTCGTTTGACGAATTATTTTGTCAATTACACCGCCTGTTGGTCTGTTTCTGTTGTTATTTCGTTGACAATGAGCTGACGAATCTGTTCGATTGAAAACCAATGGATATTATATTTGAAACTAATGTGAACGTGATGTATGTTAGTACTCTAAGACTATAAAAATGATGTAAAGCACGGTCGCGGAGCAGGATTTTTTTTTGCTTTGCATTTTTAAACTTAATTCCCATCATAAAAAGTTTTATTTCTATTGCCCCTTTTTGTTTTTATAGAAGAGGGGGCAAACGAGCATGCGACTCACCTGATGGTAAATGACTACCGCCGCCCATGAACAACCGCAACACCAGGGGATTTGCAGATGCGTTGCCGGCCTTTTAGAAAGGTGTAAGCTCTTTTCTTGAAGGTTCCTAAGTCGTATCGGTCAGGAAAATTCGCTGGTGGTAATTGATTCCACAAGGAAGTTGTGCGAGGGAGAAAACTTCTTCTAAATCGCACAGTGGTGGACCGCTAACCATCCAGATGGTATGGATGGTAACGCGAGTTTTGACTCCCCGTGATAGATGCGATAAAATACGCAAAGAGATGCAACATCTCTACGCAGTGCCAGTGTATCAAGCCGATCAGAAAGAACTCGGTCGTCGACGATTCGAACCGCTCTGCGCTGGATGCGGTCAAGTGGAAGGAGCTGGCACTGGGGTGTCCCCGCCCCAAAGATGAGAACAGTATTTCCATGTGGGGCCGAACTTGCGCTTTGTAAAGTTGCATGCGATGTGCCGGCATGAAATACTGTCTCGCTCTGCTGAGCACGCCAAGCTTTTTAGAGGCAAATTTGGCCTTCCCTTCCAAGTGACCACGAAACTGCACACTATTCGATATGTCGACGCCAAGGATTCCGATGCTAGTTGAGGCAGCAAGGGGAGTGCCTTGAAACTGAAGAGATATGACAAAGGGGTTCTTTTTAGCGGTAAACGCGCAAACTTGTGTCTTCTGGGGATTGAACTGGACTAGATTTAGTCGCAATCAATCCGAGACTTTGTTAAGCAAAGACTCGACTTCAGACGCAAGTTTGTCCCGGTACTCGTCGACGTTTTCCCGAGAAATATTAGCACGGCCGGTATATAAGGCATCACCAGTGCTGTCGTCCGCATAGCAATGAATGCTACCAGTTAGCAACATATCATTGATATGCAGGAGAAACAGCGTTGGTGATAGCACGCAGCCTTGTGGAACACCAGCGTTAATAGACTTGAAATCAGTGCATGCACCGTCTACTACGACCTTGATGCTCCGATCAGCAAGGAAACTGGTGATCCATTTGCACAATTTCTCAGGAAGCCCATAGGAAGGAAGCTTCGAAAGAAACGCTTTGTGCCAGACCCGATCGAAGGCCTTCGCTATGTCCAAACTAACGGCCAATGCCTTCCCCTTCGACTCTACTGCCTCCGCCCAGCTGGATCAGCTGGATCTTCTAGTCTATCTGACTCATAGATGAGTCAGATAGAATAGAAGATCCAGCTGATCGACCCCGACGAAAACCGTACTGGCGGCCACTAATCAGCTGGTGATCCTCAAGGTACTTCATGAGCTGGGAGTTTATAATGGATTCCATTATTTTGGAGAACAAGGAGGTGATGGCGATAGGCTTGTAGTTGGACGGGTCTGAGCGGTCGCCTTTTTTAGGGATCAAAGCCAAGTGGACCAAAGCTGTCTTCCATGCATTCGGGACTACGCCTTGGGAGTAGGAGTACCAGAAAAGACGCGTTAAAACCGGTGCCAACTCCAGAGCACACGTCTTCAGCACAATGGGAGGGACTCCATCTGGCCCACTCGACTTGCTGACGTCTAGGGAGAAGAGTGCTTTGCGAACCGAGCGCTGTGTAAACCGCACATGCGGCATGGAGCACTCACATCGCGGGATGGTCGGCGGTGTGTTCCCCCATCATCTACAGTCGAGTTGAACGCAAAGAGAGAGCTCAATAGATCGGCTCTCTCCTTTGCGGCATAGGCCAGTGAGTCATCCTCTCTGTGCAGAGATGGAAGAGATGTCTGACAGAAGTTCCCTTGGACAGCCTTGGCTAGAGACCCCGGGTTCCCGAAGGAAGGCGAACTAGCTTCTCGCCATTTCTGCCGATGTGCTCAGACCTTGCCTTGGCAATGATGCTTTTGAAGGACCTGGAGGCGGAATTATACTTCTTTTTAAGTGCGCTGGTATTTACATCCCGAGACATTGATGCGTCAGCCCAGGCCCGGTAGCACTCCTGCTTATAGCGTGATGCTATTTTACAGGAGCGACCAAACCATGGCTGGGATCTGCCTCCGATGGGAACCACAGAGGATGGAATAAAAAGTTCCATACCCTGAAGCACCACATTAGCAACAGAATCGGCAACAACGCTGGGATCTTCTGGCGAGAAGCAAACCCGCCCCCAAGGGTAGGATGCAAAAAAAGACCGCATCCCGTCCCAATCGGATGACCTATAGTGCCAAACACGGCGGCAAGCTGCAGATCGCAACTACGATTGGAGAGTGAGTGGCACCGTACTCCGGATCAGACAATGGTCCGAAGAGCCCAGAGGGGCATCGACGGACACCTGATATCCTTCCGGATGAGAGGTCAGCAGAAGGTCCAACAGGGAAGGTACATGGTCTTCTACATCTGGGATCCGCGTAGGCGAAGTAACCAGTTGTGTTAGACCATATGCCAAAGCAAAGTCATAGACAGATCCACCCGCATGATCGGTTAAACGAGAACCAAGCCATTCCGCGTGGTGGGCGTTAAAATCACCGAGTATCACGATCTCTACGGATAGGACCTGTTGTAGCGCGGAGTCTGCAGCCATTTAGACGTGGTCGATGAGTCGGTCTGTGTCGGCATTACCGCTATGGGACCTATAGAGGTACCCGTAGCGCGGGGATGGTCATCGCTGTCTACGCGCAGCCATAGGATGGACAGGTCCGTACCTTCAAGACTGCCGAGGCGTCGAAAACAGATGTCCTCTCTGACGTATACGCAAACTCCAGCACGGGGCACAAAGGAGTGTTCCAATTTGTACCCCGGGTGGGAGAGATATGAAGTATCAGCCGGAGAGGACACCTGAGTCTCGGTTAAAAAGAGCAAGACCGGCTTCGCCGTCACTATATGGTAATGGACAGCGTTAAGATTGGAATTAAGTCCCCTGATGTTGCAAAAATTCACGGATAGCGTGACAGGGGTCGCCTTGGTTGTATTGCTCCGCTTGCCCCGAGCAGTATTAGTTGCGAGCAAAATTTTGCCGCCCCCCCCCCCCCCCACCCAGAATACGCGGGGCAGCCTGAGCACCCACACTCAGGAGTGAAGTAGTTTGGTCGTGGATGCTCAGCGAGGGATTCTCCAGGGGTGCTGGTACCCTCCTGGGGTAGTCTTTTATTAAATTCCACTACCATGTTGATGGGGGGGGGGGGGGAATTGGGCCTCCGGCCACCTGCACTCACCAAGAGCAACGCAGAGGTAAACCTCTACTTCACGCTGGTATTCTGTGAGGTCGTGGTACCACCCCGGTTCGAGCCGGCCCATCCGTGCGACAGCAAAAGCTTCCGCTTGGCTCTACCACTGTTAGAACTAAGATATTTTGAGGACGTTTTGAAAAGTATTAGTGATTTGAAAATAGAGTTCATTCTCAAGTTATTAAAGTTCACATTTGTATGAATTGCAATAATTTGAAATTCTTCCTGCTCCGCGATCACGCCATAGCAACCATAGTAACAACACACAAAAAGTTTGAAGTTTTTTCGGCTACTAGCTGCAACAAATAAGTACTACAATAAATTATTTTTTCGCATTTTTATTTCCATTTCAAATATTTTATGAAATGGTCAATTCCAAAGTTGATAAGGTAAAGTTTTATGTTTGTTTACCAACTGATGTTGAAACTCAACAAATTTTATTCGAAGCAAACCTATTTTGTAAGCGAAAAAGACGTTAAAATGTTATGTAACATTTCATAGAAAAGTCTATAGGTTAATAATAGTCGAAAATGCGAAATTATATAATTGCAATTGTTATTACTATATTCAATTTTAATTTATACATTGCCAATGACATCGATAATAAATCAAGTGATGATACACCAGTCGGTAAGTTTGATTGCCTATCTTTAGGATCAGTATTCAGTCTAGATCAATAGTTTTTACTAAGCGATTACGTCATATAAGCGAAAAAAACTTGACACGTTATTTACGTGTATATATGCAGAGTCCAAGGCCCACAGACTATAAGGGTATAGAACGGCATTTCTCTCACCATCTCGTTTGACCAGCGTCTTTGGCACGTGAAATACTTAGATTGGCGACGGGCAGCGGGGTCAAAGGTGCTAGGCGATACTCACAGAAAGTAAATATGACTTCAGTTATAAATGCATATCCTCTTCTTTGGGCTTGTATCGTTTAAAGAGTATTTATCTTGTTCGTCACGCTTAAGAAACGGATTAAAAATCGCAGTGCACAACGCTTCGTGCCTTTAACGCTGCTATCCGTCGCCAGTTTGGAAAAATTTACGTCTGTTTTAAACGAGATGGTCATAACGCCATTAGCTATCCTATGGCTGCGCGTAGACAGCGACGACCAACCCCGCGTCTACAGGTGCCTCTATATGTCCCATAACGGTAATGCCGACACAGACCGACTCATCGACCACATCCAAATGGCTGCAGACTCCATACTACAACAGGTCCCATCCGCAGAGATCGTGATGCTCAGTGATTTTAACGTCCACCACGCGGAATGTCTTGGTTCCCGTTTAACCGATCATGTGGGTATATCTGTTTATGACTTTGCCTTGGCATATGGTCTGTCACAACTGATTACTTCGCCTACCCGGATCCCAGATGTGGAGGATCATGTACCTTCCCTGTTGGACCTTCTGCTGACATCTCATCCGGATGGATATCAGGTCTCCGTCGATGCCCCTCTTGATTCTTCGGACCATTGTCCGGAGTACGGTGCCACTCACGCTCCCATCGCAGTTGCGATCTGCAGCTTACCGTCGTGTTTGGAATTATAGGTCGGCCGATTGGGACGGGGTGCGGTCTTTTTTTGCATCCTACCCTTGGGGGCAGGTTTGCTTCTCGCCGGATGATCCCAACGTTGTTGCTGATTCTGTCGCTGATGTGGTACTTCAGCGGATGGAATTATTTATTCCATCATCAGTGGTGCCTATCGAAGGCAGAACTCAGCCATGGTTTGGTCACTCCTGTAAAATTGTATCACGCTATGAATAGGAGCGCTGCCTGGCCTGACGCATCAACGTCCCGGGATGTAAACACCAGCGCTCTTCAAAAGACGTATAATTCCGCCTCCAGGTCCTTCAAAGTGTCATTGCCATGGCAAAGTTAGAGCACATCGGCAGAATTGGCGAGAAACTAGTTCGCCTCCCTTCAGGAACACGTGCATTCTGGTCTCTCGCCAAGGCTGTCCAAGGGAACTTCTGTCAGCCATCTCTGCCATCTCTGCACAGGATAGACGACTCACTGGCCCATAACGACCGCTCAGATTCATCCAACAGGCCTATCGCTATCACCTCCTTGTTCTTCAAAGTAATGGAAAGTATTATTAACTGCCAGATCATGCGGTACCTTGAGGATCACCAGCTGATTAGTGACCGCCAGTACGGTTTCCGTCGAGGTCGCTTAGTTGGTGATCTTCTAGGTTACCTAACTCATAAATGGGCGGAGGCAGTGGAGTGCAAGAGTGTGTATTTCATCCGTACGTACGTATATTTCATCTGTACGTGTATTTCATCCTTGTGCCTCGGAAAGCTCATGAGGTACCTTGAGGATCATCAGCTGATTAGTGACCGCCAGTACGGTTTTCGTCGGAGTCGATCAGCTAGTTATCTTCTGGTCTACCTGACTCATAGATGGGCGGAGGCAATAGAGTCCAAGGGGGAGGCATTGGCCGTTAGTTTGAACATAGCGAAGGCCTTCGATCGGGTCTGGCACAAAGTGCTTATTTCGAAGCTCCCTTCCTAAGGGCTTCGAGAAATTGTGTAATTGGATCACCAGTTTTCTTTCAGATCGGAGCATCAAGGTCGTAGTAGACGGTGCATGCTCCGATTACAAGCCCATTTAAGCTGGTGTTCCACAAGGCTGTGTGCTATCACCAACGCTGTTTCTTCTGCATATCAATGATATGTTGCTAACTGGTAACATTCATTGCTATGCAGATGACAGCACTGGTGATGCTCTATACACCGGCCGTGCCAATATTTCTCGGGAAAACGTCGCCGAGTACCGGAACAAACTTGTGTCTGAAGTCGAGACTTTATTGAACAAAGTCTCAGACTGGGGGCGACTAAATCTAGTCCAGTTCAATCCCCAGAAACACAAGTTTGCGCGTTTACCGCTAAAAAGAACCCCTTTATCGCATCTACTCAGTTTCAAGGCACTCCCCTTGTTTCCTCAGCCAGTATTGGAATCCTCGGTGTTGACATATCGAGTGACGTGCAGTTTCGTGGTCACTTTGAAGAGAAGGCCAAATTGGCCTCTAAAAAGCTTGGTGTGCTCAGTAGAGAAGGACAGTATTTCATGCCTGCACACCACTTGCAACTTTACAAGGTGCAAGTTCAGCCTCAAATGGAATAGTGTTCCCATCTCTGGGCAGGGGCTGCCCAGTGCCAGCTCCTTCCACTTGACCGCATCCAGCGCAAAGCGGTTCGAATTGTCGACGACCTAGTTCTTTCCGATGGGCTTGACTCACTGGCACTGCGTAGAGCTGTTGCATCTCTCTCCGACCTCCTATGGGTTGACCCATGTCCAGCAGTGGACTTTGACGGGCTGTAGTAATGTTAGCGTTCATACAAATATCAATCCCCCAAGTCAGTTAAATGAAAATTTACAAATTGTTATTTAATATTAGGGCTGCCACTTCTTTCCAAAAAAAGAATGCAAAAAAAAATAGTACTTTTGGGAAATTCAGGGAAAGAAGTACAGTTTTAATCTTTATCTACATTTTCATATATATTTGTTATTGCTCTTCGCTTTGGCCGTCAACGAACTATTAATAACCTTTACAATAATTATAGCAATCTGAGTAATTTAGATTCATATTTAAATAAATTAACAATTCAATTTAATTGAAGGTAGTTTTAAACGATTTGTCTGCTGATCCTACAACCGGCATTAGACACTGGGCTTTTCGTCCGGTTTATCAAAGACACCGGTATGGCGAATTTTGAAAAAGTAAGGATTGCATCCATATTATAACCAGCGATTCCAGCAATTGCATGAAAATGTAGACAATCGTCCAAGGTGGTAATTTACGGCGTGCTTGAAGAGAAATGTGTTGAGGAAACCTGCATATATTAGAAATAAAAACATTCCGAAAACAAGTGAAGCTCACTAACCCGTACTGAAGCAGCGCGACGGATAAATAGTTTTTTTTTATATAATAAGGGTGACAAACGAGTCCACCTGATGATAAAAGTATACTGTGGCCCATAGACATCTACGTCTATCCCTGATTAAGAATCAAACTGCTGATGCATTATCACCCGTGACGACTAAGATGGAATGCCACATTTCCAGTAAAAAAGGTCTACGTATACGAAACACAGCAGCATTGAGCCACTATTTTACGTTGGTATTCCGCGACCTTTGCCCGGAAATGGAACGTATATAGAATGTAATTTTATTAATGAAAAATATAAAGTTATGTAAACAACAGCTTCTGTCGAAGTTAACATTCGAATGGACATGGCAGATGACGATCCGAAAATAGCTCAAGACGGTCGTCGCATACAACACAAGGATCTCCGAATCCAAAACGAATATCTGATTAAAAAGGAAGCAGCACTAAGAATTCGCGGCGGTAATGCAACTGATAATAAGAACTTCCCATATATGGCTGCTATTATTATAAACGGGCGGCTCTGGTGCGCTGGGGCTATTGTCGACGTGAATTGGGTGTTGACAGCAGCCCATTGCCTCAACTAGTGAGTAAATCGTTTCCATCCATTACATCCTATTGAAAGTAGTAAGCCGTATGAGGAAGCTCAAGGTCGCTCAGCGAGCTATGGAGAGGGCTATGCTCGGAGTTTCTCTGCGTGATAAACTTAGAAATGAGGATATCCGCAGTAGAACCTGAGTGACCGACATAGCCCAGAGTAAGCTGAAGTGGCAATGGGCCGGCCATAAAGCGCGAAGAACCAACAACCGATGGGGAAAAAAGATTCTCGAGTGGCGGCCTCGTACCGGCGGACGAAGTGTAGGGCGTCCCCTCACTAGATGGAGTGACGACCTGGTAAGATATGCAGTAAGTCGATGGATCCATGTGGCTCATGACCGTGCTTTGTGGCATTCCTTGGGGGAGGCCTACGTTCAGCAGTGGACTTGTGAAGGGCTATAGTGATGAAAATAATGATGAAATTAGTAAGTAGAAAGCATTTTAGAATTGGGGCATCGACGCTACCAGGGCGTTGCCACTTTTAAATGAGGTGTAATATTGGACAGATTTCATAGCGGGGACGTTAGTTTGTTCTAAAATGTAAAGGTTAATGATTATTTCTGTACTATTACTTATATTCATATTAATTAGATTAAAATAAATAATCCAAACTACAGATGTTTTTAAAAGTAGAAAAATTGTATTATGCCAGCCCCGTGGCGCAGTGGCTTAGCAATGTGTTGCAGCGCTAAGGGTCGCGGGTTCGAATCCCGCACGGAACAAGTGTGTGTATGGCGTACAAATAATTGTTTCGGGTCTGGATGTTTGTCCTTGTGCAATTTGTGTTTGTATACTGCCTCCACGATACAGGAGAAAATCCTAATGTGGGCGTTGTTTTTTTAAAAAAGGAAAAAAAGAGAAAATTGAAAAAAAAAGAGTTAAAATGAGCAAAAAATGAAAGAGCAATCCATTGAGGCATTGTTTTGTTTATCAATATGTATCTACTGATAAACTTTTATTTAAAATTAACTTCTCAATTAAATGACATAGTGTAACAAAAATCTTCACCTCAGTGTCAACTAGCGACATCTGGTGAGCGGAAGATTATTAGCCCTCATTAATATTGTATACTTTTAACCAAATTAACTTTTTTATGCTAAAACTTTAAATAAATCAACAGAACGACATTCATTTAGTTATGACAAATACGTACGAGCGTCCTAATATGTACTTCCTAAAATGGTTCTCCAACCCTCAACTTCCCAATTGGTAGGAAAAAATATTGTTAATAAAGACTACGCTCTCATAGTATAGCAGCATCAAATAACAGCTTAATGCTGCTGTGTTTCCTATGGTGAGTGTAGAGAACGGGAGACTCTTATTACTGGAAACGAGGTATTCAATCTTAGTCCTCAAGGATGACAGCGCATCTGCATTTTGATTCTTAATCTGTTATAGATGTAGCCACATGGGCCACAGCATTCACTTACCATCAGGTGGACTGTGTGCTCGTATGTCACCCTTAGGTAAAAATTAGTTGTTGATATTGCATTGAAAGTTTCAAATATCCTTTGCAGTGTCCTTCACGTATCACCGCTTAAGACGCTGAGTAAGTTTGTAAAGGTACGAGTTGGCAGTCCCCGTGTACATGAAGGTGGCGTGCTAATGGATGTAGTTGGCGCTGTCCGCCATCCGAAGTTCGAAGAAGAACCCGTGCCTCATGCTGACGTTGCCCTACTTAAGTTGGCTGAAAACCTTGGTAACTAGTTTCATTTATCGTTTTTATTAACTCGCTATCGTGAATGTCTGATTGATTCGAATTTAGTAAATTTAAATTTAAATTTAGAATATTGATTGTAGGTACTCGTATTTTAAGCGTCATAATATGTACATTTGGTGTTAATTTATATAATTACGTGTCTTACAACTTAATCACCATTTTCGGGGAACTGATAACACAGAATACCAGCTTAAAGAGCAGCTTAATGCCGTTGTGTTTCGTATGGTGAGTGTAGAGAACCCGATACCCTTTTTACTGGTTACGAGGCACTCCATCTTAGTCCTAGGGGGTGACAACGCATCTGCATTTTGATTCTTAATTGAGGATAGATGTAGATGGGTCACTGCATTGCATTCAATTTACAATTAAAGATATATAAAAACCTTGTATGTAGTATCTGTTCGTGTAATCCTATTCAAAAAATAAATAAAAAGTAACCGGCAGAAATATAAAATAAAATTTAATTAAATGAAGAAACCTGCATGACTACATGCACCGTAGAAGCTGTGGCGTTGGGGCACCACCAAAAGAGTATAGTAATATCTCAGATCATAGAAACAACTGTTGTTTCTATGATCTGAGAGTAATATAATGGGTAGGGGAAAAAGTTTCGTCGTATTTTGTTTGTATAAAATTGAAGAAATTTCTCTCTGGTGTTTATATCTGGCTGAATTTAATATCAATACATATAAGAAATTAAGAAAAAAAATAAAAAGTAAAAAACGCTTTTCCGCCATTTTACAATTGTTTTTCTGTCCGCCATAATGAGTGAGATGCAGGTGGCTCAGGACCGTGCTTTGTGGCATTCCTTGGGGGAGGCCTATGTTCAGCAAAAGGCTGTAATGATGATGATGATGATAATGAGTGAATCTAACTAAGAAAATTTTTGACGTTTATGGACATCGATAAAATTAAACTATATATATATATATATATATATATATATATATATAAAACTAAATATTGCGTAAATTGAAGATTTGTTAATTGCATAAGATAATTATTATTACATTTTATTTAGAAATATATTTGTTTAGATTAAAATAAGAGTATTTTATATTAAATTCTTATATTTATTTTATATTAATATCTTATTTTATATTAAATTAAAGTCTTCGCGCATACGCGTCTCTACTATCTCCCGCGCATGCGCGAAGACATGAGTAGCGCAAAATTTTTGTTTGGAATAGCTTCTCTAGTACGTCGTACATATAACTCAATGCAATGTCAGTAAGAGTAGCACAAAGTTGGTTTAAGCGTTTTCAGTCAGGAAAATTTGATGTCTAAGATGCTGCTCTCTCTGGTCGCCCTCATACGGATAAAGTAGATGCCATTTTTGAAAAAGTGGAGCAAGATCGGCATATTAGTAGTTACGACATAGGCAGGAATTGAAGATTGACAACAAAGCAGTTTTGACCAATTTGAAAAAGATTCATTATACGAAAAAGCAATCGAGCTTTTTTGTATAGTCAAACTTTTAGGTACCATACGAGCTCACTGAAAGAAACCTAATGAATCGTGTACTCATTTGCGATTCTCTATTGAAACGTAATGAAACCGAACCATTTTTGGAAAGATTGATCTCTGGTGATGAAAAGTGGATCACCTACGACAAGAACGTGCGAAAAAGATCATAGTCAAAGGATAATCCAGCTCCACAGACTTTAGCGAATAACACGCAATAAGGTGATGCTGTGTGTATGGTGGGGTTAGAAGAGCATCGTTTATTATGAGCTTTTACCGCCGGGCCAAAACATCGATTCGGATCTCTACTGCCAACAACAGAGACTCAAGCAAGAAATTGAGAAAATACGACCGGAATTGATCAACAGAAATAGAATGGTCTTTCATCATCATAACGCCAGACCATACATGTTTTTAGCCACTCAGTTAAAATTGAGAGAGCTTAGTTGGCAAGTGTTAATGCATCTACCATATTGTCCTGACCTTCCACCCTGTTTCTGTTTCTGTCTCTTCAGAATTCTTTGGGTACTGCTAGGTTACAGTGACATAACCCTTTTACTGTCTACAGCAACAGGGTTATGTCACTACCTACAAGATAGCAACAACTTATCGAATAAAATGGCTCGTATATATTATAATTAATTGTAATTATACTACGAAAAAAAATGTCTTCAATTTGTATATAAAATACGAAGAAACTTGTTCCCCAACCTTTTATAGGTGGCATTAGACATATTATAGTCTTAACGATATGTTAGACATATATAAAAATTACGTGTCACATTGTTTGTTGCACACTGTGTGCAGTTTGGTCCAACTTGAGAGATAGAATAGTTTTTATCCCGTTAAGTGACCATCAATATTTTTTATTGCGAATTTAAGGTTTTTTTATTATACAAAGGGTCGTCGGAAAGAGCAGAACAACGTCTGCCTGGTTAACTAGTCTATACAAATAAATAAAATTGAAGTGTCTGTTTGTAATGTCAAAAATACAGCTTTTTACTAAATGCATATGAAAGTATATACGGTACTAATAACAAAAATACAATTTTTAATGTTTTTGTATGTCTGACAGTTACCGTTACAGCCTGTTAAAGTCCAATACTGAACATAGGCCATAGATTGCCTTGTATGGGGGATATTTGCCAGGTATCATTTAATAGAGAACTTGGTAAGAGACCCTTTACCCTTTGGCACTACTCCTTGCCGTCGGACAATATCGTCACAAGTTTATGGAAACCGGAATGTGTTGCCAGATTTAAAAAAATTGCTGATTTTTAAGCAAATTGTAGTTTCATTAATAATGTTTTTTTTAATGTCATTATTGCGGTACTTAATGTGTCCCTTTCGGATCAGATGTGTTTTTTTTTTACATATTGTATAGATTACTTCACTCTTTATGATGAATACAGTTATTTAATTATAGTTAACAATATATGGAGACATTAAAAAATTAATTCACACTTATTGATCTGTCTCTCGCAGAATTCGACAACCGTGTCAATTTGATCAGGATTTATGACGGCATGAAGGAGCCTTTTGCGCAGAGTTTTGTTGTTGTATCGGGATGGGGAGCCACGAAGGTAACCTTATAGTTTTTTTTTACATATATTTGTTTATTCATTTCTGTAAATGATAACAATAACAGTATTCCGTTGTTGCCTGCTTCACCGATTTCATCTGTTCAATAACCATGTTTCAATATTATGTTTTCAAAACTCAAGCAACATAGCTTTTCCAAATTTTTGCTGTATGGACCGCGGTTGTTATACAAGGGGAAGTATGGGAATTACCAGGAAGATTTCATGGCGATAGATGGAGGTCATACTTCTTTTTATAGGATAATGTTGACAAACGAACACACTGTCAACCTGATGGTAAGTGGTTACTGCGGCCCATAGACATCTGCACCTATCCTCATTACTAATCAAAATGAAGATGCGTTATCACCCGTAAGGACTAAGATGGAACGCCTCGTTTCCAGTAAAAATGGTCTCCGGTTCTCTACACTCACCATAAGAAACACAGCAAAGTTAAGCTGCTATTTTACGCTGGTATTCTGTGAGAGCGTGGTCCTTCCTCGGTCAAGCCGACCCATTCGTGCTACAACTATACCACTAATATAGCTGCAGCATGGCTCTACCACGTACAAATGTTAAGTGCCGGACGTCAGTGTCTCGTTGAAGCAGTCGAAGATGGAAGACATATGGCGTAATCACAATGGTAAGTCCTCTATACAAACGGAAAGACCTATTACGTAGTACTATTATCTATTCTGTGCCCATGCCTAGGGACTTTAACGGACTTGTCATTGTATTATTAGTATGCAGGTAGAATAAGAAAGAAAGAATAAAGTTCACAATGGAGTCGTTGTCTTATGTCTTATTTGCACGCGTTAAATAATATGGCGCAGTCGAATTAATTTAAAAGTGTAGTTTAAAACGTAACATTGTTTAATATCGAGAAACATATAAATTAAATATAACGAAATCAGTGTTTCACCACCGCATTAGTTCAAATTCGAAAACGACGTAATATACCACGTAACTTCTGGAAATTCGTGTACGTCATGAGAGAAGTGGAAAAAATCTTTTCTTATCTATTTTGATGCATGCTAACATAAACGAAATGATGCAAAAGTGTAAATAAGACAAGGACTCGAATTAGCAACCTTATTATATCTTGTTCTCTAAATCTACGGCTGAGATTTATAAACCGTACTTTGACTTTGCTCAGACTTCACTTCCGAGCTAAGACAATGTCGGTATTTATAGAGCTAACTTCGAAGTTGTGCTGAGTGTGCGCTTCGCAAAGCCTAAGTCAACGATATTGACGACTTACGTAAAACTCAGGATATTAACCAAAACCACCGTATTAAGTTTAAATTGTTGTTTTTATGTTACTCTAATTATTTATAACAATAAATAGGTAGTTTTAAGCCGTCTACTTGTTTTAAATAGCACTAATCCACTTTCTATTAACGTAATTTCAAATTTATTTCGAATTTCTTAAAGTCATCTTTTTTTTTCTTTTTTCTGTTTTCGCACTGGTCCCGTCCTCATACGGCTGTTTTGTATTGTATGCAATAATAACTTATTTATGAAATGCAATTTGGACTGTTTTCGATTTTTAAATATATTTTTTTTAATTTTATACAGTATAATCAAGAACATAATAGAGCATCAATTAATTTTTTGACTTTCTGGGTCTGAGCATAAGCTTAGCTTAATCTTAGCCCAATACAACTATAAATTCAGAATCAAAGATTATGCTGAGCGTATACTCAGCTAAGTTTTTCTTAAGTAAAGTCTGACCAAAGTCAAGTACGGTCTATAGATCTCAGCCTAAGTGACTGTGACAGACCAGACTTAACGACGTATAAAAATTGAGTAACATCTGAGTATTTGGGCATTAATGTTATTAACTTCCTTCTGCGTAGCATTGAAAGGAAGTTAATGGTTTTAGCTGGCAGGTTGTTAGTCTGTATGCCGACACGATAACTTCCGTTCCACAGGACCGATTGACTTTAAATTTGGTATGTGGATACCTTGAGGTAGTAGCTCGGTCGAATTTGAATTTGGGTCCTGTAGGTCAAAGGGCACCAGAGATATGGGATTCACGCAGAAGGAAGTTGTTTTTCTTGAATTTACATTCAACTCGTTTTATCGGAAACTAAAATATCAGTCACAACTCGCCGGAAAAAATGATAAGCTAATAGAATAATTTCAAGGTTTTCCAATCAGGGCACAGACACAGCATTTAGGGATCACACGCCAGATCTACTGAAGGCTCGCTTGAAAGTGCGCACGCGCAACTATTGCATCGACGCCTACCAGTTAGTGAACGGCTTCCAGTTTACGCCGGATTTTTTCTGCGCTTCGCTCAGGAATGGCACTAGAGACGCTTGCCTTGTAAGTAATTGTTTTAAGTAATATTAATGTCAAAAGCCAGTTCCAAATATTATGTAATACGTATACAAACAACTAAATTCAAATTTGGATAACTTAATGATAGAGCCGTGGTAGTTCAGAGGCTAAACGCTCGCTGTAAATTTCACAGTACGCGAGCAACTTGGGTTCGATCCCCGCCGGCACCAATAAAATTGTTAACTGCAATATTAAGTACTTATTTGCCACGTACTCGACGGTGAACGAAAACATCGTGAGGAAACCTGCATGTCTGAAAAATAAGAAAAAAAATATTTCGAAGACATGCGAAGTTCGGCAACATTCGGCACCGTGGCGGACATGTCCTTGCCCTAAAATACTCTCAGAAATGAGAGGAGGCCTGTGCCCAGCAGTGGGACGTATGTAGGTTGTAACTTTAACTTTTTTTACTTTTAATGACTTTTTTGGTACCACCTTGCGAAACTTAACCCCGCAATTTCGATTCGAATATCCAGTAAATCACATTTAATTTTAGATCTCATGTCCTATTTCTACAAAAAATTTTGCATTTGCAATGTTGATGATTTTATAAAAATCAACATGAGAATTAGCTCGATGAGAAACATCTCAAGCCAATATTATGATTCGATTAAAACTGTAAAGGTCGAGTATCCTACTCCATTCGCTTTAGTTTTACTTTCTTTTCAATAAACAATTTTCCAGCTCAATGCACTACGTAACTACAGCCCGAAAATGGTTGCAGAATCTAAAAATTTTAAATATCAGATTCACTGTGTATATTACATTGTACAGTTCGACGCGGGAGCACCAGCCGTGCAACGGAATCAGTTGATGGGCATCATGAGTTTCGGCCCTGAACGCTGTGGTGATGCCTACCAACCGGCTGTTTTTATTAAAGCTTTCTACTTCAGGTAAATGATAACGATAAAGGTAAAATTTTACTTAAATAATGATATTCTACAAATATAAGTCAGCGCTCTACATGATTTATTTGTGGAAAAAAAACTAAATTGTAGAAATTATGTCAAACTCCTTTCCTAAACGTTATTAGGTACCTATTGATTAAAAAAATATATTACACAAAAATCAGAAATATTTTATATAAACGATGAACACTAAACCTAGTCAATTTGGAACACAGCGACAAATTCGCCTTACTGTTGAAAGTTATCAGCTGCGCAGGAGATATTATCTGCCGACTTCCAAAAAGGAGCCGGTACTCAATTCGACTGTGTTTTTTTTTTCGTTTTTTTTTTATGTGTGTTACCTCAGAACTTTTTTCTGGGTGAACCGATTTCGATGATTCTTTTTTTATTTGAAAGCTGGTACTTCTCGTGTGGTCCCATATGAATTTGATCAAGGTCAGACCAATAGTTTTTAAGTTATTCTTAAATAACTTATATTGAAGTCGGCTGTACAAAATTTTTAATTTTAAATTATTTTAGTAAAAAGTATCTGCTATGCAATAACACACTCTTTCTAACCTACCCGCGCTCGAAATAACGAATAACGAAAAATAAATTATGCTTTATATTTGAGGTAGCCTCGGATTAGGGTTGCCAGCCTTTACTAAGAATTAATATGGTGACAGCATGGATGGATCGGCTTGACCGGGGAAGGGCCAGGCTCTCCCGGAATAACAGTGTAAAACTACATGGTAGAATCATACTGCAGCTGCAGGGATATATTTAATTATGGTTGTAGTACGAATGGGTACCGGCTCGACCGAGAAAGGAACCATGCTCTTACAGAATAGTAATGTAAAATAGCAGCTTAATGCTGCTGTGTGTCTTATGGTGAGTGTAGAGAACCGGCGACCCTGTTTATTGGATACGAGGCATTCCAGCTTAGTCCTCAGGGGTTACACATACAGCACACAGCATAGATGTAGAAGTCTATGGGCCATAACAGCCACTTACTATCAGGTGGACTGTGCGCACGTTTGTCACTCTTACTCTATAAAAAATGTAATATAACAATATTTTATTACAATACCTACATAATTGTAAGTAACACAATTACTTTATTTTAATAAAGGCTGACTTTGTTTTACAGGCTGATAATAAAAGCTAAAAGCAGTAAAACGTTCCTTCAAATAATTTAAAATATAAAATTTTGTACTACCGACTTCAATATAAATTATTAAGAATAACTCAAAAACTATTGGTCAGGCCGTGATTTATATGGGACCACATGTGAAGCACCAGCTTTCAAATAAAAAAAGAATCATCGAAATCGGTACACCCAGTAAAAAGTTATGACGTACACACATATTAAAAAAAAATTAGGTCGAATTGAGTACATACCGTCGCAGAATAAACGAGTTGAATGTAAATTCAAGAAAAACAACTTCCTTCTGCGTGAATCCCATATCTCTGGTGCCCTTTGACCTACAGGACCCAAATTCAAACTCGACCGAGCTACTACCTCAAGGTATCCACATACCAAATTTTTAAGTCAATCGGTCCAGTGGAACGGAAGTTATCGTGTCGGCATACAGACTAACAGACTGCCAGCTAAAACCATTAACTTCCTTTCAATGCTACGCAGAAGGAAGTTAATAATAGTACTACGGTACCGTCTCCTTTTTGAAGTCGATAGAAAAAATTCATTCGAAACGTATACTATGTTCTTTTTTTGCGCCATCTCCTCTCATTGATTTAAAAAAGATGGCAGTCCTAGTTCAGACGCAGAGTCAGAGACATGGAAACAATAATTACCATAGTTACTATAATACATACGAGACCCATAAATCAGCAATTTATTTTGAATATATGTATATGTTGACGCTTGCCAGGCTACACTGCGGTATTAGTTTTCAACTGTTAGTTATTTCCCTTGTATTATGCATTGAAGTAATAAGTTCTTACGTACGTAGTATATAACAACTCAATGGCATTATGAGATTTGATTCATATTGAAGTCGGTTGTGCAAAATTTTTTATTTTACCACTTGTTAGTATCATTGTACTACTTATTACTAATCTTATAAAATTTAACCACAGGGACTTCGTCAAATCAGTAATATCATCATACAAAACCACTGGGGAACTGATAAACGCAATAAAAGAAGTCGAACCGGCAGTAAAAGCACCAGACGCGATGGCCATACCTGTTGCAGAGGCAGTGGAATCGGAAGAGAGACAATACAGCGACGAAAATCCAGCGACGTTATAACACCGCACGCCCGAGGGATATCAATATACTAAATTAATACATACTTTTTAAATGTTAGCATTTTATAATAAAATATTATCAAAATGAAATTATTAACGAAAAAGTTATACTTACATGTTTTTATATACGTGGCTGTGCCCGGCATGGTTTACTGTCTATTTTTGTCAGAAACATTTACAGGCACGCGCACAATTCACCTAAGTTTCATCGTTAGTATGGTATAGGATCGAATTAAAACAAATTTACAATTTTAATTTTGTAAGGTGCCTTCGAGGGCGCACACACACAAAGTCACATGTTATTGTATCGAAATCGGATAATTGGTTTATGTGTGCGCATGAATTCTTACACTCAGACTACGGCCGGTATTCAATCTAGAGTTAAAACAAAAACTCCACAACGTCAAAATTTGTAAAGCATAAACATTATGGTCTAGACTAGACTCAAATTTTGACATTGTAGAGCTCAAGAATGCGGTCTATCTATATCCTTAGTTAGTATACTGTTTCGTTAGATATGTAAGAGGGTGTTATCTACCTAAATAAAAAGGAACACCTACCAGGTGAATACGATTCGACCACGGCGATGGAGAAGTGTCCATATGTCATTTTTCTGACACGCAAGTTTTATTACGTTTTCCTTCAAAGCTTGTCGCTTGTTCGCTCCTGGATGTATGCCTCTCTCATTAATCATTACAGCCTTTCACAATCCCGCGACTGAACATAGACCTCCCCTAACGAATGCCACAAAGCACGGTCCTGAGCCACTTGCATCCATCGACTTCTTGCATGTCATACCAGATCGTTACTCCATCTAGTGGGGGGCCACCCTACACTTCGCCTGCCGTTACGAGGCTGCCACCCGAGAACCTTTCTTCCCCATCGGTTGTCGGTTCTTCGAGCTACATGACCGACCCATTGTCACTTCAGCTTACTAGTCCCTAAACGCCACGCCACACTCTGTACACGTTACTCTGGGTCGACGATCTTTTTTTTGTATAGCGTGACAAACGAGCACACAGTCCACCTGATGATAGAACGTCGTTCTACTTTAGCTAAAGCAATCATTTCTACACTAAAAAGAGTAGAATAATGAGACAACAGAGAATGTATTTATTATTTATTTCAATACATAACTACAGAGAATCATCGCCGTGACCAACGCGCGACAATATTGTAGTAGAATCATTACCACGATCCACTTTTTGGTACACTTATTATCAAATGAACGACACAAAATATAAAACAAAGAACATATCACCGGCGATGCGAACATTTGGACATAAGAGCGTATCATTTTAAAGTTGTAAATTCAAAAGCATAAGGGCTAACGGACGCGATGTAAAGCGTCATCTTAGAATTCTCAATAGATTTTTAACTAGATTGACCTATTACTTCGAGAGGAAACGATAAACCTACTTAATAAATATCTTATCTCACGGAGAATAAAATACGTACTTATAAACTAAACAACTTCGTATTCACAAAAAAAAAAAAACATTTAAAACACGCTCGAATGTCCATTGTTAGTTACAAAGTAATACGTCGCTTTACTAAGCTACCGGTGTAAAATTTAAAGTATAACATTCTATTCGAAATAATTGTATCTAACGACCAAACAGTACAGGCGACAACAAATCATGGTAACAAAAGCGAAATATCAAACTTATGTCCATACAGAATGCATGACACGATATGCAGCCGACTGTACACACCGTAGTATATTATATAATATTAAAAATAAAAAATAATCAGCGACGACTAAATTAAAACTGAAAACAACGAAAGAGCCAACACTGCCATTAAGCTTACAGAATATAATATAATACAGAATGTTATTTGTTATCTGCCATATAAATCCATCCATCCATCTATTATTTTAGCACAAAATTATAGCGCAATCCAATATTTAAAAAAAGGTTTGCGCAATATAGTGCCATTCATAATTTTTCTTCAATTTCAGCAACATATTTAAAAACATTAATAGTCCTAACCACTAAAGTGGTATCAAATATTTGGTCTCATATTTATTTATGAAATTTAGGACGAGCGCTTCGACCCGAATTGCTCTCTCAGAAATGAGAGATGGCGTTTAGATTATATGAATATCGACTTTAATATCGAAATTAAGGGTTCGAATCCTGCACGGGACAAGTATTTCTTCGGCCTACAAAAAATTTTTCCTGGTGTGAAACTTGTGTGTAAACTGCCTCCTTACAAGAAAAAACCTCGTGTAACGATTTATAAAAAAGAAAAAGAAAGAATTGAACAAAAAATCATAAAAACTCATCGAAATTTATAGACTAACATAATCATTTCAAAATATGGGATAGATACTTTCTGTCCTATAGTATCAATCATAAATTAACTGATAAGTTGAGACTATAGTTTATCCATCTTTATTAAAACTCGTACTGGCAAGATGCAATAATCAAGTACTGAATTAAATAATACCCTCGAATATAAGACACTAAGGTGATCTTACATCTCTTTTTAGGAATCACATAGTTTAAAACACGTTGACAGATTAAAACAATGAATTTCAAGATATATGAATTCCTACTGAAGATCACTCGGTACAAGTCGTGGCACGTAGGTCTGAACGAAACGTGGGCGGGATAGCTGCGCATGGTACTGTCGCGCACGTATCACGTATCAGTATGGGGGACGGTATGCCAATCATCTAGAGCCAATCAGCGCGCGGAATGCGACTAGAGAGCCAATCAGCTCGCGGAATGCGAATGGAGAGCCAATCAGCGCGTGCGAACGACATGCATGTCCGCCCCGTGACCCGTTTAATACCCCATGATACCTTATTTTCAACTTATGTGCAATAATAGTCACCGCTAGACTTACGTGCCACGACTTTATACACCACAATGCATTAAAAATGAAATTTTCAATTTATTAAAATAATTAGTATTCCTCAATGTAATACTTAAATATTTTTGATAATGCTTACATCTCAATAGACATTAAATAGATGCTATGTCAATTACAGATGGCAGAAAAGTGTACAGTTAACCGACAAACTATACAATATTGATCATAATTTTAAATAACAAAATCATAGCATTATCAAAAAATATTTACGTAAGAATTTATTAGGCAGTATTTACACAATGTAACCCGTAGTGAGCTCAATAAATGCCATTAGGTATATTTACTATTTAAGATTTGTTTTATATAAAGTTGTATTGTATTATTGTATAAATCTTAGAAATTATATTAAAATTGTCGCAACATACTACAGAATATTACTACAGTATAAATTGTAAGTCAATATGAAACGAATTTTATAGTGGTAGTTCATACTATTAAAATTTCAACCTGTACATAATATGTATTGGCTGTCATAGTGGAACTAAGTCTGTGTTGCCATTTCTTTTGGGTGTGGAATACTTGCTGTATGCTGTATTCAATATATTAAATTGGACATCAAAGGCATGAAAAATTGTAGAAATTCATGAGTTTTCAAAATTAAAAAAAATTGTTTCCAAATCACGATATTGTAAGTAAATACCTTGTCGTATTAATAATACAGCAAGTACTTATAATATAATATTATGTCAAGCAAGTATCAAATCGAGCATACTTTGAATATCTTAGTATGTGTTGAGTAATTTATTTGCTACTAAAAACTTACTGAATCTTACTGAATATAGCTGTGGTTTCACACACCAGTGAATATTAATTAACATGTTCTTCGAAAGAAACATTCGATAACTCTTCCTAATGGCACATTCACACACTTGAATATTTTGATCTCTTTATAACTCCCTACTCATTAGCAAAATAAAATAGTCCATTGTAATATACTGTTTAGAGTTACGAATTTGGCAACACATATGTGTCTCAAAACTGACAACATCAAGCCCTCAGAGTAATAAACGAGACAAATTAAATGAAATGGGTAATTATTTTAAATACAAGTGTTTATAAAGATGTTATAAAAATATCACGTATACATATCCAAAAAAAAAGCAAATTTTGTTCATCAGTTACATAGTATTTAGTTATCTGAGACTGCTAAAAATGTTTCATGGCCTTTGGTTTAAAACCTAGATAAAACAAAAATAAATAATTCGATTCAATAAAATAAAATATTATTCCATGAACATCGGGGTCTTTAATTCTCTGTAATATTATGTAAAAACAATATATTTCCTATTACCTAAGCAAATTAGCATTATGGCAACACTGGTATTATTAATTTCACATGATTTGACAATGATTTTGAATGAAAATATTTTAGTGCTTAAATTATACATTGGCTGTATTATTGTGTCTTATCAAGGGATAATATTTCATTAAACAACATAAAAGATTTAACCCTGTTTTATTCCATCAATTTAACTGTTTAATGTGTATTGTCCTTAAATATATTTTACACTAACAGTCATGATTACTGCAGACCAAACTTGCAATTATAAAAAAATTGCTAAAAACATTTCAAGCCTCACAATGTTGACACAGTGTAGGCGAATCAGTGTGCCTAGAAACTTTCGAAAATAAAATAAAATTGAGCTAATAGTCGATTTGATACACTTCGACAAGTACAGTAGCGAATTTAGTTACAGGGCAGTTGACAGTAAACGGTTAAGTGGGCAGTAGCGTTCAATTGTCTTCGCGACGAGTTTAGTTAAAAAAAAGTACAATTTTATATTTTAAGGGTCGAACACATCGATCACTAATAATTAATTAGATACACAATCACACACACACACACCATGCAAAAGTACTGTAAAAACTGTCGCCAATTGTTTTGACGTAATTCTAGTTGAAATAAATATACATTAATGTAAATTCAACCTTAAATGCATTGCCTAAAGTTGTATTTACAAAGCTACGTACAAATTAAAAGTGCACCCAAATGTTCAAGTGGGCGCTCAAGTTCAAGTTCAAGTTTTTTATTAGCGATCGATGGTCGAACACGAAGACGTTGCGTCCTGTCAACTTATGCACTGAACTAAATTACTAAACTCGCTCGTTCACACGGCGGCCATTTTTGTTGCGGGTGGCGGGAGACGCGCGGGAGCGCAAGACTTCGAACTTAACTCGCCGAAAAATAGACCGGCCAGCTATACCGTTCAACTTAATTTTTAATTTGTTACTTAAGTCACTAATTGCCGTTCAAACGAGATTTTTACTTAACTAGCCAGGTTCGCAAGTTAACTCGCTACTGTACTTGTCGAAGTGTAAATCGGTCATAATGTGCGACTTAACCTTCTTTTTTTTACTTGTTACTTAAAGATTAATTAAAATTGCCAATAATATAATTAAAATCGACGTACAAACGTCGGTTAAAGCTATACATTTTACAGTTCTCGCAACCTACACTGTGTGAAAGTGGTGATAATTCAAGAACGAGATAATAATCGACATAAATAGCACGCGATAGAAAGAATCAGTCGTTATTTTACAGAAATCATTGAATCAATAACGGCAATATATTTTCAAGATTCGAGTTTTAACGCCTCTTATGAAACTGAGAAGCTACATAGATATTCAATTTATTCCCTACTTACATACCTATAAGTCAGACCTATATATAGATGGACACTTCCCACTTCCCTGTACATTCCCTTCTTATATTTATCTACACGTTTCATGATATCGAATCAAAATATGATCCAAAATACAAGAGTATAGCGCCGATACACAAAATGTTTGATTGCAAGGTCGAAATCATTATAAAATTGTACATTTATATCGAAATTAAGATCTCAATGATTGCCCGTTTACTATGAGAAAGCAAATAATATATTAAAAGGGATGTCTGGGTTGGGTTTAGGATAAAGAATCTAAACTACAAAATAAAACACGCGAATCTTCACAAAATATATTACCGTCAACACAGGCATAATTGTAATAAAATCTACGTCACATTGTTGAAGTCAAAAAGCGTATGGCAGTAGAATATTCACAACAATACTTTTACAGTGAGATGGCATAAATAAAACTTATGTTTTAAGGAAATTTCAAAATTACATAGCATATAATGAAGCAGTAGATAAACTACTACCATACTCTAACTGCTGTACTAATGTGAACTGTGGTCAAGAGATCACTCTTTACCTCGCATACACAGCCAGTGTCACTGCTAATCTATAGTTCGGTGTAGTGCGTCCCCGTTACGGCACTATAGTTTGTGGGGGAGACTGTGCTCAGTCACTTATCGCCCGCTTCGCTTGCGGCTCGTCCACGTCCGTTTCCGGCGGCTGTTCCAGGCCCGGCAGCTGGATCTGTGTTTCTGACGCTTCTGAGGGCTGAATAACATAATAATATTGTCAATAACATTAAATACCAAATGCGTTTGAATAAAAAAATGATGATGAAATGAAAATCAAAATAAAGAGGTCAAGAAGTTTACAAGACAGCACGCACAATGCCTTGGACAAAAAGGGAAGCCTACCGAAGCAAACTAACAAAGTTACAGCCTATCTAAAGTCCACTGCTGAGCACAAACCTCTCCATATGTTGCCACATAAAGGGGATATTTGCCATATTCGCCACGCTTGGCAGGCGGCTTGGCAACCACAATTTCTTTCAGTGGTTGTAAGGGAGACGATATTGCCCGTCTCCTGGTTTTTTTCCCTCTGTCGCTACTACAGTCAAATGTCATCCTATCCTATAAAAAAGAACCAACAGCATTTAAGATAAAATATCATAATTAATCTTCATGAATAAGCAAATGAAATCCTTAAATTTTTTTAAACTAAAGACAATGCTAAATTACTAAAGCTTCACAAGATAAGGTACAACAAAAAGTTTTATACATATTTCAATTTTAAAATATACAAAAATTAAAAGATCAAAAAGCTTAAATTACATTTTAAAGATTATATAGATCCTATTTTATATAAATTCGTTAAGAATTATACTTTCAGATGATGATGATTTTAAAAGTTAGATGAAAATAAAAATTTCAATTAGAAAATTTGAATATTTGAAATTAAAATATTTTTTGATAAATGATTTCTTTTTAATATTATAGGCAAGCAGTAATAGCAATTCTTATATTTATCTTATATTTAATTTGCAAATGTATAGAATAGAATATTTTTTTTAATTCAAAATAGATAATTCTTATTGAAAGTAATTTTCTTATTTTACCACTAGTTCCGAAAAAACCTATGTCCTGGGATCAGCAAGTAACCAAGCGGGACTTTTTTTTAAAGTAAATTTTACATGAATGGTTGTTCAAACTATTATATATATATATATGTAAGTTACACATAAGTGTAGTAAACATCACGATGGCTTTTAATGACAGTCTTCGTACCGTACCTTATTAAATAATAATATCAATAATATCAGTACCTAACAAGGCTTTGCCTGGGCAGGATCTATTAATGTAGTGTTATTTAGAATCATTCAAAGACCATTTATTTATTCAATTTAAAAAAAATATTCAAACATCATTCATCTTCAAGCTTTTCGGAGCTAGTCTAGTCTAGATCCCTTCTGGTATTGCCCTCCTTCTATTCGTAGTTTAATCACAATTAGTTTAAGACTGTAGTCCTTAAGCGTGGGAACTTCTAATAGAACACCTACATAAATATTTTCTAATCACAGAGATGCATCGCGCAATGTTATTATACGCACCCTCCTGGACATGAATAAATTACTTTTGGTGCTTCGCACAAATTACATATTCATCACGCGTTCGTCTTCGTAGGATGTTCATGAATGTCATAAAAACACGCATTGTATGTAGCCATTTGCAATTTATTTTGTGTCATTTGCTTGTCGCATAGCGAAGTCCTTCAATGAAGTCAGTTCTTTAATATTTTTAAAATCGTAACTGCCTATTTGCGCGTTTCTTAAGGACCGGCCTCTTAACTATTCCGAAGATTAGCCTGGCCAGACAGACAAACATAATCGTTTCTAAGTATGGTCATTTATGTCTTAATGGCATGAAAATAACACGTTGAACTCAATAAAAGCCAGTTGTTTCAATACTACAGACAGACACTTGTATTTTATTTATATACGTTCATACTACCAAGATTCACAGCTTATAATTTTTATCACGCGAGACCATACAAAATAAATCTAATTATTTACTAAATTCGGAAAAAGATAAAGAAAGGAGAAGAAGTAGGTAGAAAAGAGAGAGAAAGAGAAAGAGAAAGAGAGAGAGAGAGAGAGAGAGAGAGAGAGAGATTAAAGGAAATGAGAAGTTAAAAACAATAAATTCGCTAGTAATATTTGCTTATAATCTTCTACATCATTTCATGTAAGAAATTGCAATTAAACATAACTTAAATTGAAAAACCCCCGAAACAAAAACAGCTGATGCACTTGAAACGACTGAACCGATTTTGATAAAACATGTCTAAAAACCACGGCTGGAAAACCTGCTTTTAAACTGAAAAAATACCGCAACCAAATCGGTTCACCCGTTTAAGAGCTACGGTGCCTCAGACAGACACACACACACATAGCGGTCAAACTTATAACACCCCTCTTTTTGCGTCGGGGGTTAAAAATAATAAAAAATTTCAAATTCCTCTACTGACTGTGACAAACTAGCGAGTTTACCTTAGCATCGATAAATCCAGAGCGTCCAACGAAAGGCTTGGAAAAATAACACACTTACATAACACACTTCATAGCAAACTACAATTAGCAAAATTTTGTATACAATTACATTCTTATTATTAAAAAAAAAACATTGGTCTACTTAGACAAAATAAGATTCTTCTCTTGATAGAAAATATAACTTCCAAAATAAAAGTTTAATTTTAAAACAATAGTTTCTGCCCGACTAAAACTTTTTTATTTTCCATATAAGCTAATTACAATTACTATTTTATTTAATTGAATCATGAATGAAAGTGTATGCTTTAAATGCATAAACTTTATATATACATATGTATAGTGTATGCATACATTACAAACACAACAAGAAACAACAAATAATTTTAGTTCCGACAAAATTGGCATATTATTATAAAATATAAATTTTAAGATATATTGCCCACTTTTTATACGGATACAACCAACATCGCAAGTATTTTCTCATCATCTCAAAAAATGATTTTGCAATATGTGCAGATAGAATCTTGTTTATCCCACTCGACGATTTATTATTTAAAATAATTAACAAACACTAATTTGTTAACTGAAATAATTATAGTTAATGCAATTATAAATCTTATAAATAGGTATATAAGGAATATTATAAATGTTATGTATTAAACACAAAACACAGTTCATACCTCGGCATCATTGGTATTTTCTCTCTCTTTCTCGGGTATCGCACGCGGGCGCTTCTTGCCTCGCATACCGGGTTCAACTTGATTCTGCCTCTTGGGCTGGAACTGTAAATAGTAAAAAAAAAAATTATTTGCCTGAAATTTTACAATTTCTTGAGTTATGGTGAGAAATAGATTACAATCAATTATTAATACTACAGTCTATAGACTCTGTTATTAAAGACGCACAAAATGACTTAGATTTTCTAAATATCTGGTTTCAATGCAATCGGCTTACTATAAATATATCAAAAACAAACTGTATAATATTGAAGGCAAAAAACAAAAAATATCACTAGAACCACTACAAATGTCACAAAATAAATTAATTAAAACTTTGTTTAAATATGATTTCCTCACACCAACAAATCTACTATATAAAGAAACAAAATTATTAAATAAAAAAAAAAATAATGTACGAAGGTGCGAAATTGTATAGCCAATTACCGAAAGATATTAAAGAAGCAAAATCAATGCCAACTTTTAGAAAGCACTTAAAATATTATTTAACATCTAATCTGAGCGCACCTTAGTTTCCTTATTTCAGACGTCACTTCTAGCTACGATCGATCTGTGTAAGGTGCGCGTCCAAGCATTGATTGCTCCTTGTTTATATTATTTTATTACAAGTACCCTGTTTTTACATTGTATTTTGTTTATACTTAGAAATAAAAATTATTTAAAATGTATACTTAAGATTGAACGTGATTGAGTGAAATGATTTCAATATATTAGTGTACGCCTAGGGTAAGATTATTATTTGTTTGTATGTATTAAAACTTTCTCATGTAAGTGAATTGTTGTAAATTCTTATGAGAAATAAAGATATCTCAAACCTCAACATGTGAGATTGTATAATTTATGTTTACGTATGTGAACAATTAAGGGAACTTTTATACGAAAAATATTATCTAAAAGTAGTACAATACTATTCCAACTATAGTGTAGAAAGATGGAGAATGTCCTCCCTCAAGAAGTACAAGAAAGAAACTGGGCATAGCAAAATAAAGAGATATCCAGAGAATAATAATATTAGTTTTAGGTTAGTTTAAAGTATATATTATATACACGTAGTAGAGCCATGCTGCAGCTATATTATGGTTGTAGCATGCATGGGTCGGCTCGATCGGGGTAAGACCACGTTTTCACAGAATACTAGTGCAAAATAGCACCTTAATGCTATTGTGCTTCGAATGGTGAGTGTAGAAAACCGGAGACCTTTTCACTGCAAACGAGGCATCTTAGTCCTCAGGGGTGACGACAACACAACTGCATTTTGAGTCTTAATCGAAGTCAGATGTAGATGTCCATGAGCCGCAATATCCACTTATCATCAGGTGGACTGTGTGTTCGGTAGTCTTCCTTAAACTATAAAATAAAAATATACTCCACTTAAAAAGTTAAAGTAAATAAAGAATATAGTCCATGCCCTCGGAGGAATATGCCTAATACTTAAAGAAAAGAGAAAAATGGTATGATATAGCGAAATTGAAGGTAAGCGAGTAACCTGTAGCTCGGGCGGCAGGAAGACCCTGGTGTTGACGAAGTAGTCGGGCTGCGGCGCGAAGTACATGGTGGGGATGCGCGCGTCCGACGGGAATTCGCGCATCTCGAAGCTGCTGGAGCGCGACCAGATCACCGACATCGCCAGGTCGCACACCGCCCACATTTTCTGCAACAAATCACGATCATTGTTATGATATTGTGTAATAATTTCACACTCGTTATCGACATTAAGAAATCCTTCTTTAATATTATATTAGTACTGTTTGCAGTATTAATACGAGACAATGTGTGGAGGATGCTGTCAATTTAACTGTTTGTGTTTTTTGTATGTTACGCGATATCTTAGACAATTCGAATACGATTTAAATTATAGACAAACAAACAAACACACACGCACGCACAGCACAGTCGATCACCCACCCCACATTTTGTTTCGTATTGCGCGAAATACAATTGTGATTATTCTTACTAATCCAATCAGGTAATACAATTATTAACTATTGAATGAATATACAGTCAAGAAATATATATGATTTGTATTTATTTTTATATAATAAATATGAACTATATGTTGCCAGTGCATCTTAAGTTTGAAATAAATTTAATTTAAGTTTAAAATAAATATGATAGTCACAATAATAATAGCAGATAATATATCAAATTAATATAGAGTGAAGTTGTCGATTATTCCGTAAACCTATTTTATCTCCAGGAGAATAATAATAAAAAAAATAGGTTCAAAACTCACATAGTTGACTGCATCGTCATTTTCATTAACCGCGTCCTTGTGATTCTTCATTCGGTCGACGAGACTCTTGTAGAATCCATAGCAGTAGAAATCATTACGTGTTATTAGAGGTTCCAATATGAACCACAAGCATTGTTTTATTACCTGAAAATATACGTAAATATCATGTGAATATTTTGGCCTATACTAATTTTCACGACGGGAAATCCTCCGAGGTATGGCGGATTTACCAGAACTGGCTGTATATCCCTATTTTCATCATCTTTATCGGTTGTACAACCGGAAAAGGAAAGGAAAGGCGAAAAAAAGTTCTCGAGTGGCAGCCTCGTACTTGCAAGCACATGGTTGGTGGTACATGGTCACCCTATCCGCCTCTAGATAGGATAACAACCTGAGAACTGTGCTTTGTGGAAGTCTGGAATGAAGCCTCAGCAAGAGACTTGTGATGACAATGTTTAAAGGTCAACTTTTTTATACAGTCAAGGTGACAAACAAGCACTTAGTTCAACTGATGGTATGATGGAAGCTGTAGCTCATAGGTACCTACATGTAGATGTTTTCATCCCTCAAGACAAAGATGGAATGCCTCGTACCCAGTAAAAAAAGTTCCTCTGGTTCTCACTCATTTACGGTACGAAAAACAGCAGTATTATTAGAGGTTTAAGTTACAGCCTATATACGTCCCACTACTGGGGACTGGTCTCCTCTAACTTCTGAGGTTTTAGGGCAAATAAATGTCCGCCGAGCTGACCCAATGCGTGTTGGCGAAGTTCACATGTCTCAAAATATTTTTTTTCTTATTTCTCAGACATGCAGATTTCCTCACGATGTTTTCCTTCAACGCCGAGCGCGTGGTAATATGGAGTTACAGCATTGAATAGCTGCAAAGCAATATTAAGCAGCTATTTAATGTTGGTATTTTAAGTCACTTTTTAATACATTCATGTCGCAGCCAGAATACAGCTGCACTGTGGCTGTATGGTGTAGAGAACCACCAATGTTCCCTCCTATGAACTTATTAACTATATTTTTTTACGTATAAGTCAGTGCTTAGCCACAATCTCACCGGGTGTTAATTTGTGATGCAGCCTTAATGGTAACTTGCACTGTCTTAGCGTAACGAAAGCCAATTCACTCTTGCCGTGAAGACGCCCAGATTGTATTCGGACGGAAAGATACACGTCGGCAAATTATTCCACTCCTTTTGTTGTACGCATTTTAAAAGTCGATCAGATCAAATTCAGAACCATTGAAAAATAGGAATTATCTCAATCTAGCTACAGGACTGTCATAGTACAATTATGTTATCAATTTGATAGATTAACAACCCAACAACATTAGATGAAAAACTAAGTGGTAGAACTCCAGTGTTGGCTAAGAGACCGTTTGGGAAGCTACTAACATTTTAATTATTCCTGTTCGTTCCAGTGTGTAAGATGTAGAAAGCCAGCCAGTCTGTGAGGCATTCTATCTTAGTCCTCAAAGGTGACAACGCACTTGTAGCATCCTTTATCAGGCTCCAGCATCAGGTGGAGTTTATGTTTGTTTGTCACTTCAATTGTATAGAAATCAGTGAAGGTGGCTCATGTCTGTACTTTGTGGCATTTAATAAATAACTGACCAAGTGCGAGTCGGACTCGCGCATGAAGGGTTCCGTACCATCGTAATACACGTTTCTAGGAGGGAATCCCCTTTATTTTTATTTTATTATTTGTTGTTATAGCGGCAACAGAAATACACATTCTGTGAATATTTCAATTATCTATCTACTACGGATTATGCGATACAGCCCGCTGACAGACAGACGGACGGACAGACAGTGGGGCCTTAGGTACGGAACCCTAAAAAGACTATGGTCATCAGTAAATTTACCAATGAGTGACATTTATATGGTTCGCCATAATTATACCATTAATAATATGTAGTGTGTAAATAGTAAAAGTATATCAAGTTCTCATGATTAGTTAGTATTAATCTTGACTAAATACATACCTTGAGCTGAGCCACATTGTCATACGTGGTGAAGGCCGGGTCGTGTGTGAGCACCGGCACAGCAAATACGAGCATATAGTCTGGTAGGATGTGAGGCAACTGACTAACCGCTCTCTCAACTGTAAAACAAAAAATTGTAAAAAAATAACAAATGTATATAAGTAGATCATTGCAGTTATTACTTTCTTTTTTACACTAACATAGTCGTTGTATTAAACAAATTTTAGATTTTATTGCGTTCACTAATTTTAATTTCTAAACTTATAGGTAATGTTAGTCCGAGCTATCTTTTAAATATTAATTTTTGGTACAATCTACAACACATAACGCGCTTACAAAATCTTATCTTGCAGTGGTATGCTAAGTTTTTCATTTAATTTAATATCTATGGGATCTCAGCACCCAGTCATCCTCTATATTGAAAGGACAATGTCCAAAACCGCCCTGTGTAATAAAAGCATCGGACATACACGATAATTAATTTTCTATTTTATTATATTAGTTGCAAATACTTTTATAACACGGACTAGCTGCATGCAAAAATGAACATTAAAAAGTATTATATTCGACTAATAACATTAATCGCCGCCATCTTCGCCAAACATCATGTGTTGTCGAAAAATGATTAGGGATGCCCAATCGATTGTAATCGATTTTTGAAATTTTAATGAACTGTTGTATATTTTTTAATCTGAATTACATTTTAATTTATTTCGAATAAAGTTGCTAAAAGAAGCTACAATAATAATATTATATTACCATTTCTTTATATTCTTTTATATTATTCCCTAGAAGTATAATTTTAAAAACCTACTATACCTATTGAATGTCATACTCGATTTTAAATAGGTAGTTAGAATATTGCTAAAGAAAAATATTCGTAAAGATAATTATTCAGGATTTTCTAATGATCGTTTAGACAGAAGTATATTTTACGTCTTACTAAACGATAACTTACGAGTGTACGACAATTAATTAAAAAAAAAACTGTTATCGTTACTGCATCAATTATAAATGTGTTTTTTTTAAAGAGCAATATTGCAGACCAGATACAGATATTATTATTAATATTGTTACAAGTATGGAAGAAGTAGAGATGTACGTGTTATTATAAGTAAAGTAGGACAGTGTTATGGTATTAATATTATCGTATGACAAAAGATGATGTATACTATATAGATGGTATACTGTTTGTAACGTACGGCTATAATAAATCTTAGGAAATATTCATAAGTCGTATCGTATTTGGCGCTCCTATTTTTGATGTCACTAAATGGTCACTTGGCAGTCTCTCACGAAAAAAATACGATCTCAAAATCGATGCAAATCGAACATACTAGAATCGATTCTCGATTAAATCAAGTATTAACAGATCTATTTTTGATCAATCGCGACATTTTCAAACATGCCTAATATAGACACAGAACATTATTGACGATAACTTACTGTAAATTGAAGTAACTGTATAGAAAAATCATTAAATTAATAAATATATCATTACGCCAGTATTTTCCAGAAGCAGTAGGTAGAGGTGTGTAAGTACTGTTATGTTATACATCCCATGTAATAGGGGATGCGCGTATTGCCAAACACCGGACATAAATCCAGACTCCGTGCTACTACTGGGAACTTCAAGTTATAAAAACCCAATAATAATTTGCCCGACCCTGGGATCGAACCCAGAACAGAACAGTTTTTCTGTCTGTCACAAGGAACAGATGTTCCAACTATGCAAAAGTATTTCTTGAATCGTTTGAAATATAGCTAGTTCTTGAATAAGTCCGATTCGAGAGGTTTCTGTATCGACATCGGACAAGGATTCTTCAGATCTATATCGATCTGGAAAATCGATTCTGTTACTATAAACAATCGATTAAACGATATCAAATGGACATGCCTACTTTGTACCGTCATCTCTAATTCTGTCAAAGTTACATTGGTTGGCGTCGTTTGCAATTTTAATTGTCTTTGTACATAATTGTATCGGTCTTGTAGTGATTTTCGGGACTATATATTGAACATTACGACTTGGCTATTTTAATGGACTCTGATTGCTTTCAAGAAGGACTTACCTTACTGTGATTTTTGGAACTATGTACCACTCAAACGCTAACCTAGCATTCATAAAAGGACTTACGCATACGCAATGGAAAGTGTATTTTGTGTAAATAGCGGCTCTGCTGGTGGTACAATATTGTTTAAAGATGAACAGAGAAGCAATCGTGCAATATTGCTGTAAATGCATCGTTGTACGCAGAACCATCGGTTGCTGCGCCCATGTTATGACCATTATTTGGTACTTGAGCTTTACGAGACATCAAAATAATATCTACATCCCTGCACAGTTTTTAGACAATATTCTTATTTCCAATTTAGAAAATGAACAATAAACATGAAATTAATCTGTGTTTTATTTCTAATTCAAACATAATAAGTTAATGTACGTGTAAAAACAACTTATACTACCAATTAGGTACTAATTCGGTAGGGCTGGTTTAGTAGTAGTAGTCTATAATATTCACGCTGTTCATGCGCGCGCTGTTGAAACTTGGTTGAAACCGTGGTTGATACGCTCGCTGTTCGACGGCATGTCTAGCGGCGTGACTGACAGCCTAAATCCTTATACATTTAGGTACTAGGTATCTTACCGTACCGTATATGCTAATGACAACATCTAAATGCTAACAGCCATTATATACATATATTTTTATATTTACATTAACACACACAAACATTATCTCTCATTTCAAAACCAATGCTCAGAAAGCAGGTTTGTTAACTACATTCTATGCATTTATACGTTGCACTTACATACACTTAGGCTTTAGAACAAAAATTGCATACCTAATTATGTAGATAGGTACTAGAAATAGCTAAATGTTTTAGGACATCGTTTTTCAGTTTGTTAAAAATCACTCGGATCTCTGAAAAACCGTAATATTCATGGTTCGATTATAACCTCAAAATCTGATACTTTTTTTTAAATATATCTATTATGCAGCTAGTCCGCTATAAAAATAAGATCAAATAGGAATTTACTAACGATCAACAATAAAATACATAATTTTCTGATGCTCTTGGTTCCAGGGCGAACAATGTATGGGCGCAGAGCAATGTCCTTTGGACGTTTTTACTGTGACCATGGGTATCGATCAACCGTCCAAAATGCCGAGCATTAAAGATTAATTTAAAATTAAACGTGATAAAATCTGTAAAATATTATTCGTTTTTTCAATGTTTATGTGTTATGGCGGCTCTTCACGTTGGCCAACATAGTGGGGAATGTGTTGGCAAAGATATTGGCCAAGAATTTGTGATCGCGTCCACACGTTGGAAGGTCCTTCAGTTTGCTTCGGTTCAGGCCAATGTGCGGACGAATTTATTAAAATGGATGTTGAGGCGCTAACAGCTGCTGCGGTTTATTTATTCACAGCATACCGCTACTGCGCGAATGTATATAAGAAAAGGGTTATTAAAAAGAAATGGAAAAAATAAATCTTATTTCTTGTGTTCCACAAACAATTTTCGACTTGGTAGAGCTCTAAAAAGCGAAATATTTCTTGCCAACATGAAGAGCCGCCTTTCATGTTGGCCAACATAGTGGCGAATGTGTTGGCCAATACCAATGGCAATCGTGTAGAGATGGTGTTTGTGCTTCACTTGGTATGTATTGGAATGATAGCCCACAAGTTGACGCGAGATCCGTGTGGTGTCGGTTTTTTCAAAAGATCAAAGGGTTGTGGCAGAGTATTGACCGCCGCGTCCACACGTTGGGCGCACGTTTAGTTTGTTACGAGCTCCCAGAGTGATCGCACGCACCTAATTTTAATTTTATATTGACGCATCGTAACTATTGTCTAGAAAATGGCAGTAATCATGATTAATGAAGAAACTTTTCGCTTTACAGAGCTCTACCAAGCCGAAAATTATTTGTGGAACACAAGAAATATTTTTTTTTTCATTTCTTTTTGATCACCCTTTTCTTATACACATTCACGTAGTAGCGGTATGCTGTGAATAAATAAACCACAGCAGCCGTTAGCGCCTCAATATCCATTTTCATAAATTCGTTCGCACATTTTCCTGAACCGAAGCAAACTGAACGGACCTTCCAACGTGTGGACGCCATCACAAACTCTTGGCTAATCTTTGCGAAGACATTTGCCCCTATGTTGGCCAGCGTGTAGAGCCGCCTTAATGTGAAACGGCCAAGTTTGTATAACTTAATCATATGATAAGTGGAAGGGGGGGGGGGGGGGGGGTTCAATATGCAAAAACAAAAAAAAACCAACCCTTAGTGCCGACGGTGATGTTGCGCACGTACTCGCGGCGCCGCACGACGTCGGCCAGCATGTACTGGCGCACGAGGCCGCGTATTCGCCGGTCTGGCTCGCGGCCCGCCAGTGCGTACATGCCCATGAAATCCAAGGGCAGGCACTTGTTCGGAATTCCCTGTGAACAAAACACAACTAATGTTATTTTTTATAGGATAATGGTGACAAACGAGCACACAGTTCACCTCATGATAAGTGGTTGCTCTGGCCCATAGATATTTACATTTTTATCCTCGATTAAGATTCAAAATGCAGATGCGTTGTCACCCGTAAGGATTAAGATGGAATGCCTCGTTAGCAGTAAAAAGGATATCGAATTCTCTACACTCACCACACGAAATAATTTTTTGCTATTTTACGCTGGTAATATGCGAGAGCGTGATCCCTACCCGGTTGAGCCGACCCATCGTGCTACAACCATAATATAGCTGCAGCGTAGCCACGCTATAAAATATCACGTATATAAAACAATAAAGTTTATGCGTTTTTTTTAATATACCATTTTTTTAAATGGAATAAAAACAGTTTTTTTTTGGATTCTTATTTATATCATATTCTTACATTGTCATCCGATTCTAAGTTATGTTCGAAATTTCAAGTCTATAGCACATCGGGAAGTTAATTTAAAATCAATTACTAAATTCGACTCTAACACACACAGATCATTTCATATAATGTGTCATGATAATTTGACACACACACTCACACACACACGCGCACAGACACACGTTACTATTAACTATTATCCATAAAAATGGTCCTGTTCAACACAATTGTGACAGAAATAGCTGAAAACCTGCTTATGAGCAGTACAATCTAAGCCCTTCCCTTTTAGTTACTTTGTTCTGATTGTTTTTTACAAAGAATTATGCATATAATTATTATCTATTGTAATATGGCTCTAAATTCACAAAAGAAAATAAAACATATTAGATACCTTTGAAAGTCCTTTATGAAGCTTTGCCGCAAATATCTCTCGCACTTGTGGTACTTCGTCCTGCAAAAATATATTATGTATAAGGTTTATTTTGATAAAGGTAAGTGTCGATTTTGGATTTACATTCAAATAATTTCTTGACATCAAAAGTAATAGCGCATCTTTATTTTGTTACTTAAGGCTTTAAGAAGTCTGAATTACCTTGACGAAATGGCAACCGCAGAAATTTTAGTTATTAGAAGACGTCAACACCGCGAAACGAGTACTTTCTGTATTACTTAGAAAAGTGCAAAGATTAGACTGCAGAGGTTACAAGTACATAAGTGATATACTGCCTGTTATGCTTGCGCATCACTGAGAGTTATGTCGGTTCTATTACGTTGCACTGTGTGGTGCTGTAGGCATCACGAGCTATCAAGTGATTAAGTACGTAAGAGTTTTTTATTATTTTGTCGAATCGTATTTATTTGCGTCGTACTAGTAGCTCTGGGTCTAAGCGCTCGCTGTAAATTTCGCCCGAGTTTGATCCCCAGCAGCACCAATGAAATTTTTAATTGAAATTTTTAATTGCCATTTTAAGTGCTGATTTAGCACGTGCTCGGTGGTGAAGGAAAACATCGTGAGAAAATCTGCATGTATATTCAATTTCGGGGAAAAATTATATTTTCTCGAGTAAAACGGGGAATAAAAATAAAACTATGAATTAAAAATATTAATATTTTAAGACCTTTTTTTAGTGTAAAAACTATTTAAAGAGCTTGTGCCGTTTTGGAGTAATTTTGCAAAATATCACAAAGATAGGTACTCTTTGGGGATTTTTTTTTTCTAATAAACGGTTGACAAAATACAATTTTATTCAATTAAAAACATTTATTAAATCCTCTTCTGTCACCTTTTTTTGCGGAATGAATGAACACTTATTGTTATTTTTTACTTAAATATCCAAGAAAGCCATAATGAATGTGTCTATGGGCCACAGGCCACAGCCTCCACTTACCATCAGACCCACTGTGTGCTCATTTGTCATCTTCAATTCTTTAAAAAATACTTCAATATTCATTACAATAGCATATTTTTCGCACCACAATTCTTATAATATATTTCATGGTACCCAGTTTTTTATGTATGGAAAATTGACAAAAGATTACACAGTACACCAGACACTAAGTTAATGCTGTGGCCCCCGAATTTCCTTAATGCTCTTGATGTACTCGGTTTTCTACAGGATGCATTACCGAAAGCGTGCGCAAGAATTGCATAACTTAATTCCTCGCTTTCCCTTCCAACATCGGACAACCATGCTCGACCAGTTTCCGCCCTTTCGTTGTAAACGTGACACATATTCCAACCAAACGGTTTGTTTCATCATTCGTCATGCGTACAGCAAAGGAGTGGAATAAGTTGCCGGCACCCGTAATACCATACGATTACAATGTGGATGTTTTCAAGGCAAGAGTGAATAGGCTTTTGATAGCTCAGTGCGCTTCACCATCTTCGGCTGCATCACCGCTTACCCTCAAAAGTCTATACCACTTGAGGGTGAACGGTAAACAAGCGCTAAAAAAAAGTCTCATATACAAAGTGTATTAAAAATACTAACGATCATGAGATGCGATAAATTGTAGAACTGTTCTGCTGTGAATTGATCACCGACACCTTTTTGTTCGCAGATTTTCAACATAGCAGCGCCGGCCGCGAGCCGTAAATGTGCCATCTCTGCTTTTGATAATTGGTTTTGCTGCAAAAAAAAATACGATTTTTAGTAATATATAGGTACTTCAACTATGAAATTGGTATGGGGTTTGCGAGGTATTTGGTAGAAAACTAAAGTTTCTTGTGATGCAACCATAGATACGAAACACAACGAAGAATAATGAAGAAAAAGTTAATATTTAATAAAAAGTAAAAACCAACTTCATAAATTGAAAAGAATATTTACATAAAATAATTTGCATATAATAGCTTCTGAAGTCAGTGCTAAAGACTTGGTGTATCGAAGAATTCTTATTAGGTTTAGGTTTTAGAAAGTCAGTTTTTACTTTCCATTAAAAGTTTCATTTTGTTTACCGTTTTAACCATTTCACAGTCCCGTGAGCCATATGTGAACATTTCAATTGTTTTACTATTGTGTCTTATTCGCGGACAAGGAAACTGTTAACAGTTTCCCTATTCGCAATATGACAAGCTAAAGGTAGCAACTGTAACGTGTTCACTGCTTTTTGGCGTTTATAGAGGTAACAACGTGTCTGTAGCTTTTGTTGTTTGAAGTTGGGTGCAGAAGCCTACGGGTTGCAGCAGCCACTAAACTTCAGTTGGACTGTAAGTTCATTTGTCACTTTAGTTTTATAAAAAAATGCTCAAATTGGCCAACAATTATAAAGTATGTATGTGTGACGTAACCCGCTTCTAATGGACCCCACATAAATCCGCTACGCTTATGAAGACATCACGCTACCGGAGCGAAACAATGGCGCGACCTCGATCGGCAACGCACCGCGCCTTCGTCAGCGCGCGAGCCCGATCGCCGGTCAACGTTCATTCCGCCGGCAGCTAGCACAGGAACAAGACGCGCGCGCTACTCACCTCAGTTAACTTATCTTGTACGCGAAGTTAATTTCACTCTTGTAAAGTTATTGCCAGTAAAAGTTATTTTTACATCGAATAATATTACTTCATTCGGAGTCACATAATTATTTATCCTATCCTATATAAGTATTCTGTTATTTAAATATAAACGTACGAGTACTTGAATACTACTAATACTAATTGGGTTTGGTGGCAAGGTATTAACATATACAACTCTCGCCGAACCCCCATACTGGTAACCCATATATGCAAACCTATTAACATTTTTAGTTTTAGAGTTTATACCTGCTAGAATCATGCAGCACGCTGTAGTATGGCTGCAGCACAGATTGACTGGGATGGAACAAGCACAGAATACAAGCATGAAATAACAACATTATACTGCTGTGGTTCCTATGGTAAATGACTAATATTAGAGGCCTTTTTACAGGTAACAAGATAATCCATCTTAGACCTCAGGAGTAATGACACATCTGCATCTCTTGTCTATGACGCACAGCATACACTTATCATGCGGTGGATTGTGTGCTCATTACTACTCATTGGAGTATTAATGTATCTCCAATATTATATTGTTTTCTTTATTTCATTATTAACGTTTATTTGTATCGATCTCACCTGTAACAAATCTCCTTTGTGAACAATGAAAGCATTAAGCATTCTGAACGTCTTCTGTGCGGACAATTCATCTTTCTTCAAACCTAGCAACCATCGCGCCATACATTTGAGCCCTTCTAGTTTGCAGCGAGTCTCTTCCGGTAGATCCTCTTCGTCGCACCAGTCATTTTGGGGTGCATTTGGACCCCCACCGCCTTCACGGACTAGTAGTTCTTTGACTATCTGTAAAATAATAAATGATGCTATAAGTTTTAAGTGAAATTATTATACTTTATAAATTTTGTTTTTGCTTAAGGTGAAACATACGGTCTGTTCCCGGCCATATTCCCGCGAGTTGGCGCTGAAGTCATAATTTTGTAGTTTATTTGGGTTTTTGTGTAATTGGAACATTATTAAGTCGTAGAAGTAGTAATCGCGGTACTCTGACATTATACTTTATTTTACTAGGTCATATTCATATTCATACTCAAAATCCACACATTACAACACAAATTCCGAAAATAATTTCTGTCATTAAATATAGTGTCGTTTACACACACAGACGTGGGTGAATTCTTAGTCCCTACAATTACGAAAATTAAACACTAGATGGCGTGAATGAAAAAAATGTTTTCCTTTTTTCTGTATGGGTAGGCAGAACTACAGAACGCCACCTGCTACGATATATATTATGTACGATTCATCATCTGCCTAGCCTTTTCCCCAACTATATTGGGGTCGGATCCCAGTCAAACCGGATTCAACTGAATACCAATATTTTACGATATGTTATAAAAATAAAAGTTATATTTGTAAAATGAGCCGTGGTAGCTCAGATGGTTAGCGCTCACTGTAAATTTTACTCTACGCGAGCAACCAGAGTTCGAGCCCTGCCGGCACCGATGAATTAGTTAATTGCAGCGCGGCGGACATTTTCTTTTTTTGCCCTAAAACTAATCTAATAAAAAAAAAAATTATGAACAAGTCAAATGATTTTTGTTTTAATTGTATTTTTGTAGCAGTTTGTTTAGAATTTACATTATTCTTGTATAATTTTTTTTTATTTTTTATTTCTACTATAAAATGAAAGGGTGAAATAATACTTCATTATGTAGGTATAACCACCTGCTCAATTCAATAAGCTGCTATTCAGATTTTTGTTTTACTAAAAGATTTGTAGTTGTGTGTGCTTTGAAATTAGGAAATATTTTTTCACCTTCCTGATAATTATCGCATACTTACGTTTATTTCTATTCTATTTTTATAAAGTTTAATATTTAGAATTATTTTATTGATAAACATTTTATTAATAAATAAATTATTATTCATCTAATAACCATAATAAAACAAAATTAATAATAAATACATATAAACCATTATTTTCATCTGTTATCCAAGGACAAATCAACTAAAAAAATCCAGGACCGTAACAAACTATACGACGCGACCTTGAGCTTGGTACTACAACAAAATAAAACAAACTAATAATAACATGTGTCTCTATGAAACTGTTTGCAAAATACGTAATAGGTATTTTTACGTAAACCCGCAAAACTATATTTTGCAAACGTTTGTAAAATTAATTTTGTGACTACTTTGGTGGCTTACCGATTTATAATTTTATTTCTTGTTGAAAAAATATTCAAACAAAACACTGACTTTGTAGTTTTGTACTCAACACCGACACTTATGACATAGGTAATGAGTATTGTAACGAGATTTGAAATCACGGGCCAACTTGCGTTTCTAATACCACCGAAAACAAAATTGCGTATTTTGAATAATTAATTACTATACCTAAAATAAATTACAAAATATTGTATTATATTGGAATCAAATACATACTAGAAATATTGCAAATTAAATCGATGAAAATAATACATAAATATAATATAAATCGCAAGAAATTCCGCGCGCAAATCCAACCCCTTGACAATCAAGAATTACTTTAGAATGTTTAAATTTTATTACAGTCAAACAAAAGAACGAAGTTTGGAATCGCTTTTTCTTCTTTCAACGTAGTGCATCTAGTTCAAGGTTAGGATGTAAGGCATCGTTGCATAATATCTACCTACGAATAATGGTATTTATTGCACAACAATATCATCTGCACGCCATCTAGCGTGCCAATGTTTAAACTATGTTTTTGGCGCTTTTGCTTGTCAAGTAGTCAAAATTCACTCAACTACTAAAGAAGTGTCAAAATTTTCCTGGATTTCACTATTGTTTTTCTTAATCAATACTGCAAGTTATTTCCTAATAAGGTCAATCGCGGGCACATTTTATTGTAGAAAAGTGATAAAATGATTAGTTTTAACAAGGCTCAAGGTGTCATCAGGATTCCGTATTACTAATATATCTAGAAAAGTTCAAGATTTTTTGCCTTTAATTTCATTGTGAACTAAACTTTTTAATTTATGGACTTAAGATTTAGAACTTATAGAGAGAATTTTTACATGTGGTAGAGCCACGCTATAACTATTAAACAAACAGTGTCTGTGTTTAACATATATGTCAAAACAAAAATGTATGGCGGGGGTATCGGAGCATCCCACTTAACTTAGGACAAAGGTTCTTGGTCTTAAGGTCCTTGATAGACAGCTAGCTTTAAATAGCTAGAAGATTCCTATTGGTTTTTATTTATTGGAGGACAGCCCATTCTATTGGTATATACATATAGTGAGACTTTGTACATAGGAAAAAATAAAGCAAAGTACTTTGATGTGTCCCGAGCATCTCAATTGTTTCAAGTATTGTTATTGGTATTGTATTTGTCAAGTATTAAATTTTAATGCCGTGGTGTGTAGTCTTTCGATTGTATTGATATTATAGGATGGACAAGTAAGCTCTTACATCTCCTTGAACCAAACAGTCTTTAAATAATTAAAAATTCAAAAATTTGTACAACCGACTTCAATATAAATTATTATGAATAACTCAAAAGCTATTGGTCAGACCTTGATCTAATTTATTTGGGACCACATGTGACGCAGCCTTCAAATAAAAAAGAATCATCGAAATCGCTTCACCCAGAAAAAAGTTATGAGATAACACACATTAAAAAAACACAGTCGAATTGCGTACATGCTCCTGTTTGAAGTCGGTAGAAAAATGGAGATTTAAGAATACACAACATACTTTGCTAACCCTACTTCGATATTAACTGTCATTTCAATTATCGTCGACAAGGATCCAACGCAACGGTAAGTGGTTACTGTGACCCATAGACATCTACATCTATCCTCAATAAAGACTCAAGATGCAGATGCGTTGTCACCGGAATGCCTCTTTGCCAGTAAAAAGGGTCTCCAGTTCTCTACACTCACCATACGAAACACAGAAGCGTTAATCTGCTATTTTACGCTGGTTTTCTGTGAGAGCGTGGTCCTTCCCCGGTCGGGCCGACCTATTCGTGCTACAACTATACTACTAATATAGCTGCAGCATGGCTCTACCACGTAAACGTATCATGTCTCATATTTTTCATGTCATCATTTTGATGTCAACTAAGTTAGCGAATATGGAGTTTTGGGAGGAACTTACCCATCAATGGATTGCTGCTCCTGTTTTATAGTTTAAATAATGGTTTGAAGTAGATTTTGATATGTAAAAATGGTGCGATAATATGTTAACTATCAGTGATGTGAACCTCTAGATAAGGTGTCTGTGTCTGATTAGGCGCCTTGAGATACTATTCATCATCGACAGTCTGCTGACTCTGGCTGCCTTTACAATGTGACGCGCCATTTTACGTGGTAGCCACGCTGCAGCTATATCATGATTGTAGCACAAATGGGTGGGTTCGACCGAAGTAGGAACACGCTCTCACAGAATACAAGCGTAATGTAGCAGCTTAATGCCTCTGTTTTGTATGGCGAGTGTAGAGATTCAGAGACCTTTTTTACTGAAAACGAGGCATTCCATTTTAGTCCTCAGGGATGACAACGTATTTGTATTTTGATTCATAATCGAGGATAAATGTAGATATCTATGGGCTACAACATCCACTTACCATCAGTTGGACTGTGTGCTCGTTTGTCACCCTTATACTATAAAAAAATTTGTAAAAAAAGTACAACAGTACGAGTCCACTACGAAAGAAAAAAATCAGGGTGTAGCTGTTCGTGGACAGAGCCGTATTTTACATGAATACGTGTATGTAACGTCAAAATGTAACGAAAATTATGTGACGCATTGTGACGTATGTATCCTGTGTGTGTGTGTGTGTGTGTGTGTGTGTGTGTGTGTGCGTGCGTGTGCGTGTGCGTGTGCGTGTGCGTGCGCGTGTGCGTGTGCGTGTGCGTGTGCGTGTGTGTTGTGTGGGTGTGTGTGGTGTGTGTTTGTGGTCGTGCAGTGAATAGGGCTGATGGTGGTGCTAACCTTCCTGGAGACGATGTTCTTGATGTGCACGGGGAAGGTGTCGGGCAGGTTGTGTGCCACGTGGCCCAGCGTCACGATGGCGGTGCGGTAATGCTCCGAGTGTGGGCTCAGCGTGCTGCGCAGCGTCTCCACGATCTCCGAGAAGATCTGCGACCGCTGCTCCGGCACGTTCACGAACAGGCACCTGCCGAACACGGGACAAACCCACCGTCATAACTAAAGCAGCTGTGTAAAAGGTAAGCCGACGTCTGGCAATGCGACTGTGAATCCGCCTACGAAGGAAGCAAATACCCCCTACAACGGAAGATGCCCATGTCTTCTTTTAACAAAAACACCAAAAAAAATAAGACAAAAATAAAAGAAACTACTGAAGTCATATTAACATTGACAAAACATACTATAAAAATAATTATAATTCAAAATGGCAGCCATTTTTATTACTAAGTTTCCAGATATGAGCTATGTTTGAAGTTTCAATTCTCTAGCTCAGCGGAAAGTTAGTTTAAAATTGATTGCAAAATTTGTACCAAACTGACAAACAGAGAAGTAAGCAAGCATGGTAAAATGGTAGTCACATCTGTGGTGATTTCTTGAAGAGATATAGAAGAATATTTCTATACATACCTCACTGCATTCTTTGCCTGTTTCGGTGTGCCAACTTCGGCATATGCTTTGCACAATGAGATCAATTTCGGGAATAACGCCGGACACGCCTCACCTGCAATATTGAAGAAGACATTTACATGAATAAAATGATATATAAAAAAATAGGATAGCGCTCGGATTTATATAAAATTCATTGCGTGAAAACTCCAATTGAAAAATATTTTATTTAGTTAAAGCTTATTTAATGGCCTTTTTAACGTTAAAAAATTTCAAAAATTATGCCACCACAGACAACTGTAACAAACCATAATGGACGAGTAGTGTAATTTTTAGTGTAAGTGCAGTAAAATGCAACACATTGATCACAAAATTTAGAAATGCTGTGTAATTAAAGGCAAGAGTACAAAATACATAATAAACTAAGTTTTTATAAAGATAAAGTTTTTGGGACAGATGTTTTTCTCTATCCAAACCGGGCAAATCAAAATATTGAGAAGCATTCTATATTTTCAATATATATTGAATAAAAAAATATTTTATTCTATAAATTACTACAGAAGTCCACATTTCGTAGTGATCAACAATTATAATTATTACTTACTTAAGGGTCGATATTTGCCGAGGAAAGTGAGAGCAGCCAGTATATGTGGGGCTACGGTCTCATCGTCCATTTCTAAGAGTGAAGTCAGTCGGTTCAGAATGTCTTCGTGCAGGAAATGCGCGGGGAACACAAACGACAGCATAACAAGCAACTTCAGGCCACGTTCCGCTGCTTTCTTCAAGTCTATGCCTGCAAGAAGAACACAAATGAAACTTTAATCTTCAAAAGTTACTTGCTATGTGCTGGTGGTGTAAGATAACCCATCACTCCATTTCATACTGACACGACTATGAGAAATGACAAAAGATTTCCACCATTACCATTAGAGCCTGTTAAAAGTCCATTGCTGAACATAGGCCTCCCCATAGATTGCCTCACAGCAAACAACAAACACAGCAGTGTTAAGCTGCTATTTTACGCTAGTATTCTGTGAGAGCGTGGTCCTTCTCCGGTCGAGCCGCCCCATTCGCGCTACAACTATACTAATAATATAGCTGCAGCATGGCTCTACCACCACGTACAAAATTATTCATCATATCAATATAATTTATTCATTACAGCCTTTTTTTATAGGAGAGGGGGCAAACGAGCATGCGGCTCAACCGATGGTAAGTGACTACCGCCGCCCATGAACAACTGCAACACCAGGAGCATTGCAGATGCGTTGCCGGCCTTTTGAAAAAGAGTAGGCTCTTTTCTTGAAGGTCCCTAAGTCGTATCGGTCCGGAAAAATCACTGGTGGTAATCGATTCCACAGGGAAGTAGTGCGAGGAAGAAAACATCTAAATCGCACAGTGGTGGATCGCCAATCATCCAGATGGTATGGATGGTATCGCAAGTTTTGTCGTGATGTGCGATGGTGAAATTGAGCGGCTGGAATTAGTCCGAACAATTCCTCAGAGCACTCCCCGTGGTACATGCGATAAAATACGCAAAGAGATGCAACATCCCTACGCAGTGCCAGTGAGTCAAGCTGATCGGAAAGAACTCGGTCGTCGACGATTCAAACTCAGCACTGGGGAGCCTCTGCCCAGAGATGGGAACAGTAATCTATGTGAGGCCGAACCATCTATCAAAGTCCACTGCTTAACATAGACTATATCCATAAAATGCACTTATGAGTGGTTAATTGCCATAATTGCCACGCTTGGCAGGTGGGTTGGCAACCAGTTTTTTTGGAACGAAGTTCTTTATCGGACTGTACGAATTTGGCTTATGGAGGCTAGGCGAGAAAAAGTGTAAGATTCGACCTTACACTTTTCCTCACCTAGCCGAGACCGATTCGAAGACACGACTCCTTCTGACGTAGTTTAGAAGGCCTTAACGGCTATAAGGAAGCGAGATGGAATAATATCCATCTCCCTCGCACTTTTTCTTATCTTGCCATGAAAGAATTATTATTTTATTTTAAATGACCCTTCATTTTAATAGACGCTAGTAATCATTTATTTGTATTTGTTAATCAATAATATAATACGTTTATCCATAATAATAAATTAGAAGCGTCAGTAGCCAGGGCGCAGATCGCGAACTCGAAAGGTCGTGGGTTCAAATCCGCCATTCGAATACTGTCGTAAACCACTTGTAACACAAGCACTTTAAGCTTAACAGAAGTGGTTTAAGGGAATATTAGTAATGTTTAATAGCATTACTAGTATTTAAAAAAAATACTACTAAAGGAACTTCGTTCCAACCGGGTGTTCCACGACACTCACGCATGTTTTTTTTTATTATCGAGTTCTTATCCTAAAAATTGCTGCTGCAAATCTCCTGTTTCAGTTTCTCTATGTTGCCTCTTATAACACCCAAAGAATAATATAGAGATAGTAGGGTATTAAATTCTCTTTCGGCGCCATTTACCTGCAATATAATAATATAAGAAAATTTTATTAAAGTTAACTTAATACTTACCACACTCCTCTGCTATAGAGGTGTCCGTGCCTTTAACCGCCCCCTCCACATATCCGACTAGTATAAGCAGAGATTCATGGTCTATCATCACTGAGCTGACTCGTTCTAGAAGCATCTTCACAGTGTTGTAATACAGGTTTGTCATTACTGGTTGACCGAGCTTTTTAAGGACGCTCGACTGAAAAAAATGTATGAATATATTTATTAATTCAATACAACCTATTAAGTCACTGCTAAATGTAGGCCTGGCCCTTAGGTAGCCTCATAGGGTAAACATTTACCATAGTTGCCACGCTTGGGGGGTTAAAACCACAGTTTTTAATTATTTAGATTTTTTAGATATAATAAAACAAGTACAAGTAAAATATTAAAAATACTTAGGCCCGTACGTTACTCAACGACGAACTCAAGTGCGTAATCATTTCATACGCCCTCATTACGATATCAGCATCTCAAGATCGTTGCTTATTATAAAACACATAAAAACAGTATCTCAAAATGCTGTACTTAGGAATACTGTTCTGTGACTTGCACTCAAGTACACACACTTGAGAGTCGAGTTTCGTTTATTGATCAGTATGGCACTCATCGAGTGCATGTACTTGAGCTGAGTAACGTTTATTAATATGGGCCTTTGAAATGGACAAAAATAACTGTACATTTACATTATACATGGTACAACCAAATTGAGAGCAGAAAATCTATCTATATATTACGAATTATGACCTCCTAGAATAAACCCATGTGATTGCAAGTAATATTATAAGTGAGAGGCTCAGACTAACCCACATATGGATTTTTAATTATCTGAAATAAATAGTTTTATTATCATTATCATCAGCAAGGTATTGTTTTTGAACTGTACATTGTAATGTTATTTTAAGAACTGTAACATAGCATTCTTGAAAAGATAGTTTAATTTTAGACCAAAACAGGTGGTAAAATTAAAAATTTTGTACAACCAACTTCAATATAAATGATTAAGGATTAAGGATAACTCAAAAATTACTGGTCAGATCTTGATTAAATTTATATGGGACCACATGAGAATCACCAGCTTTCAAATAAAACAAGAATCATTCAAATCAGTTAACCTAGAGAAAGGTTATGAGGTAACACGCATAAAAATAAGAACATAAAGTCGAATTGAATACCTCCTCCTTTTTGAAGTCTGTAGAAAAAGTGAGTAATGATTTAAGGCTGTTTGAAATTTTATGGGAATTTGAAGTCTATCCTGGCTGTTTTATATAATGTCCAAATTTATTTATTTACTTTACAGAGGTTATAAGCCCTGCATTTATAACATTGACTATTAACATTGTCTTACTATACACAAGGAATGAGTTGAAGAAATTAATTCGTTCAGGTAACATAATAATATGACGTAAATACAATTGATTAATTTTTTAAAGAAATCTTAAATAAAATATAAGTAAACTTACTGTTGTTCTGACACAAACTTCACAGCTGACATTTGGATTTAAAATAGTCTCCATACCCTGAAGCAGCTCTGGCGCTTTCTTCATGTGCTGTGAGAATTTATTGAGGAACTCTTGCGCTTTTACTGACTCCGGCAAGAATTTGGAACTTATGTGCAAGACCTTAGCGATCAATTCCTTTTGCACGGCTGGCGTTGGGGGCTTCCTGTGCAACTCTACCCACTCTGCGACCGTACGTCGTACAGCTAATTGATGCTTTTGTAATTCTATAAACGCTTTTGTTGCGTTATCATCTACATTAGACATTAGATAATACAATTTCTTCATGCGAATTGGTGCGGGTAGTGTGTAAGGAACTAGAGATGTATTGAGAAGCCTCTCAACTAGTAACCTATCTTCCAAGGCTGTCATGTAGTATCCATGAAGGATTTTGTCTTTTATCCATTGCACTGCTTTCTCTGTGGCCGGTGGTACACTGTTCTCAGTCAAAAACTTTTTGTATATCATCGCTAGGCCCGACATCGCTTCTTTGCGAATTTTGAATTTCTTATCCAAGGTCCTTTCCCGGACAAAATGTAATAGATCTTCTGATTCCGCGACGGCTTGGAAGTCTCTTTGCGCTGTCGCTATTATCGCCATAACGACTTCGTAACGCACTTGCTCGTGTGCGTCGTGCTGTCTCATCTTCAGCGTTTCCGTTATATCCTTCCTCAAATCCGGATGGTGAACGAGGAAGTGCATGCAATATTGAACGCACTTGATCCGTATAGGTACGGAAATGTCATTGAAACGCCCCAAAAACGCCCGCCACAAGGCAGGATATTGCTTGGCGAGTTCTGAACCCGGTTCGGAGAACATTCGAGCTAGTAACGCGACCGCACTCAGCCTCTCTTGAAACTGTGCTGATTTGAGCTTGCACTCTAGCTGCGGTAACACAGACAGCAATATGGCGGGGCAGCACTGATATAGTTCATATATTAGCTCATACACTTTTGAAAATATTAGAAGGCTCTTCTCTTCTTTGCCGAGAATGAGAACGTGGTTAAAAAACTGCAAAAGGAATAATAAATTATTAAAACGTAATAATTTACAGCAAAATGAATTAAAGAAGGGCGAATTCAGGCCTGCTGGAAGAAATTTCAATATGAAATAAGCAGTGCCTTTGTACAAAATATCTTTTTTTTCTCTTCCTTGTAACATTATTTTGTGTGTACATAAATTGTTAAATAAATAAATAAATAAGGGCGATGATAACACCTATCATAATGTACTACGAACATATTCTATCGTCAATGTGTTTTACTTCATAACACTGTATCATTTTTCTTTGCCTAAAACGCTTTAAACCAAATCGAACAAATAACTATTGTACTCACCGCCTGTATACAGGGCTCAAGGGTCTCGCTGGTTTTGACGATCAACTCTTTAGCGAGTGCGTATGCATGTTTGTGTTCTCGCTTGTTAGGCTCCACCAGATTAATAAGGATCACATTTAGCAGTTCGTTGGAAACCACGTCCGATTCTGTGATAAGCGGGCACAATACGTCCAGCATGAAGGATTTCACCTTTGTAGAGTGTTCCGTACTAGAATACAACAATAAAACAGATTTTTGGGATTTCAAAATAGAAAGAAAAAGTGAGGGTAGCTAATAAAATATATTTTGAAAATATATTCAAGGTACAACTCAAAACATTACCGAACTGTGTAAAATATAGCCGCGTGATTAGCCTATACTCTTTCCAATATTTATGTTATGTTTATGTGTATGTTGCCGACTCATTTCTTGAAACTATATTCTATAGTGAATGTTACAAGATATAAGAAAAAAAATACTGTTCAATTTATTGTTATTCTAATTTATAACAATAAATAGAACAGTATATATAGTGCTACTACACGACGCCGTATGAGAATACACTATCCCGAGATCATCCAGAGGATGTCGTAAATGTCTACAGAGGAAAATGAAACAGATGGGCAGCACCATCTTCTTGATAACACCTAAAAATAATAAAAGACTGCGATTGCCAATCTACCTGCCAAGAATGGCAACTATAACAAATATCCTTCCTACGAGGTAATCTATGGCCTGAGGCCTTTGTCCAGCAGTTGACATTATTATGAAAAATATTATCTCGAGAAATGCTTGCGTGTATTTATATAACACTTAGATTTCATGTAGGGATAGTAGAGAAATTAACATGTCGTAAAACGACTACACTGATGAATCGCGTGAAGCCGGGGTAAGGCGCACCAAGCAAACAAAAAAATCTCTATTTTAAGTTTTTATTTTTAAATCCCTGAAGCATAACCCATAACCGTGTTAATTTAAGCCAGTTTGCCACTAATAATCATATGAATTTAAAGTGTACATAAACCTACAGCCTATATACGTCCCACGGCTGGGCACAGGCCTCCTCTCATTTCTGAGAGAGTTTTAGGACAAGGAAGTGTCCGCCGCACTGCCCCAATGCGTGTTGGCGAACTTCACATGTCTTCGAAATATTTTTTTCTTATTTCTCATACAAGCAGCTTTCCTCACGATATTTTCCTTGACCGCCGAGCACGTGGTATATTAGCACTTAAAATTGCAATTAACAATTTCATTGGTGCCAGCGGGGATTGAACAGAAAACTAAATTTATACTAAACTAAATCTAAGATATACCTTTTGACGTTTCACATTAATCATTCCGCAATAACTTTGTACAAGCGTACTGGCACACTATAATAAAAGAACTTTTTAAGTAAATCCAAAAAATAAAGTTATTTATATTTCATTACAACGTGTATAGTTCTTTATTACTAATTTAAATTAAAATCTTTCAAAATAACCAGAATCAACTCTTATGCTTGACATTGTTTCAATGATATATCGTTAATTATAAACATTACCTTTATTACATTTGGATGATTAAAATTCATGCTAATGTGAATAATCGCTAAAAATATTCAAATAATAGAACTTTCATGTCATCATCATCATCATTACAGCCCTTCATAAGCTGATGCATGCTGAACATAGGCCTCCTCCATGGGGTCGCCCTACACTTCGCCTACCGGTACGAGGCTGCCACTCGAGAACTTTTCTTCCCTATCGATTGTCGGTTCTTCGAGCTATATGGCCGGCCCACTGCCACTTCAGCTTTCTAATCCGTCGGTTACTCTGGTTCTAATGCGGATATCCTCATTTCTAAGTTTAGCACACATAGAAACCCCGAGCATAGCCCTCTCCATAGCTCGCTGAGCGACCTCGAGCTTCCTCATAAGGCCAGCAGTGAAGTACCACGTCTCAGATCCCTAAGTCATCACTGGCAACACACACTAGTTGTACAATTTCGTTTTCAAGTTTTGATGCATCCGATCTGCAATAAATCTGGTGATCCAATTGAACAATTTCTCGGGAAGCCCATAGGAAGTTAGCTTCGAAAGAAGCGCTTAGTGCCAAACCTTTATGTACATTTTTTAATTCATTATTTGTTTCTTTAAATTTTTATTTTTAAATTATTATGTGAATCCCACCGTGGCAAGTTGCGAGTAAGTTTAAAATATGCCGGCTTGTACAATGATAGTATAGAGTCATTAAAAGCCGTTTGAAAATAAATTGGCTTCCGATACAAAAAAAAATTGACAAACGCAAATTAATTATTTAGTCATGAATGCAAAGAATAATATTTTACGAGAAATTAAAAATATTACCAATTGAGACAACGTTATATTTATTAATGAAACATGGCTAAACGCCAATCACACAGTGCCGAAAACATGGACACATGATACGTGCCCGTGGGAAAAGGAGGCCGCATCATAATTTTCCATGTGGGAGTACCGGAGTAGGATTAGTAGAAAATACAACTACTACACAAGCGATCACTAGGTGTAAGTGATGATCATTTTGAATACATTATAGAAAATCAAATAATAATCAATTAATATAAACAACATATTACTTTATCTCTAGAAGTTAGCAGTAAGCAATAAGATAAAACTATAACTCTAAAGAAATAATATCGATATCTCTTAAGAATCGAATAATGTAGGTACCTATTATTCAGTCCGAATGCCCAGCCCAATAAATGTGACAGCTGTCAGAAGGTATTTCTTAGATTTGGTGGAGTATAATTGTGATGTTGTGTTGTCTCATTGTTTCTTTATAATAAACAGTATAAGAACGAGGGGTATCAGTAGTCTGTGCATATCAGCAGTCGGTTGCGGTCATAGCTTGTTTAGTAAATTGGCAATCCGATTTGAGGCTATATACTTAAGTTAGTTTTTTATTTTTTTATTTATTCTGGAGTTGTCTTCGTACATGAAGAATGCTTTCAAAAGCTGTAATCTAACAAAAATATGTTAATAAATATCTCCACAATATGTCATGCCACATTGCGAAGTGTTTGGGAGATTTAATTTTTTTTACTTTTCTCATGTTTTTCAATTAACTAAGTTGAAAACAAACTAGAAAAGTCGGTGCTAAGTCAAAGTGCAAGGAAAAGTTACAAAACTTGACTTTAGAAGCTATTAAGTGGCAATTATTTAATAATTTTAAGTTATTATTATATTCTTATATTTTTATACAAGCTATAAGCCTAACGGTTTGCTACCATTCTACTACTGCAGTGAACCACTACTATCACAAGCATTTCAAGTTTACTTAAAGTGGTTAATGAGAATGTAGTAATGTAGTGTTACCAGTATTTTTTTTAAATATTGATGTCAATTTACTTTTTCAATAAACACAATGCATAATTAAAAATACATTTCAAATTTTACGATTCAAATAACCGACACCGTTAACACTATGCTAATTGGTCAATTAACTGTTCAGAATTATAAACGAACTATAATCGCTAACAATCGTAATGCAACTAGTAAAAGTAAACACATTTGCATACAAGATGGGTATTATGTATATGGGACTGACCTTGTTTACTAAACAATGAAAGATTTATATAATAAACACACTAAATAATTAATCTACATTAACACTCACTTGACAATCTTGAACATTAGAGAGAAGAGGGCGCAGAATATCTCCTGGCAGTCCTCTAGCTCAAAGCACATGTTAAAGGACTTTACATAGGCCAGATTCTCCAGCAAATAGAAGTAGCGCTTGAACGCCGGGTCTTTTGGGTCGCGTAGACCCTGAAGTTGGTTTATTAAGAACAAAAATATTGTTTTGACCTGTAAAAAGAAAAATTATCCTGAGCGCTAGTTTCGTTAAAATGTATAAATTCGAATAAAGATTCTCGTTACAACAATATCCGCAATTTAGCAAGTTGTTTTGAACAGAGCTTTAAAGGCAGTTAAGACATTCTTTCTTAGCTTTATTTAAAAATAATGTCAGACTAATAGACATGTAATAGTTTAACAAGGTGTATTTAAGTAAATCATACAACAGATTCCGCTTACTAGATATAGATAAAATAATAAAATGATCATGTAAAATGTAAGAAAAAAATTACTCGTACAATAATTGTTTTCCGCCTGAGAGCCTGTCTGATTTTGTACCGGGTATTTTGATACCACCCTCTTCTTTATCAGGCTTGTAATCGGAGCATGCACCGTCTAATACGACCTTGATGCTCCGATCTGCAAGAAAACTGGTGATGCAATTGCACAATTTCTCGGGAAGTCCATAGGAAGGTAGCTTCGAAAGAAGCGCTTTGTGCCAAACCTGATCGAAGGCCTTAGCTATGTTCAAACTAACGACCAACGCTTCCTCCTTGGACTCCACTGCCGCCGCCCATCTATGAGTTAGGTAACCTAGAAGATCACCAGCTGAGCGACCTCTGCGGAAACCATACTGGCGGTCACTAAGCAGCTGGTGATCCTCAAGGTACCGCATGAGCTGGTAGTTCATAATAATTTCCATTACTTTGGAGAACAAGGAGGTGCAAGCGATAGACCTGTAGTTGGACGTATCTTATCGGTCGCCTTTTTTAGGGATCGGGTGCACCATAGCTGTCTTCCATGAGTTGGGGACTACGCCTATCGCCTAGGGAGTAGGAGTACCGGAAAAGACGCGTTAAAACCGGTGCCAACTTCGGAGCACACGTCTTCAGCACAATAGATGAGACTCCATCAGGCCCACTCGACTTGTTGACGTCCAGAGAGAAGAGTGATTTACGCACTGTGCGCTGTGTAAACAGCACTTCCTGCATGGAGCACTCTCACCGTGGGATGGTCTGCGGTGTGTTCCCCCCATCATCTTCTAGAGTCGAGTTGGAAGCAAAAAGAGAGCCTAGCAGATCGGCTTTCTCCTTTGCGTCATGGGCCAGTGAGTCGTCCACCCTGTGCAGAGATGGCTGACAGAAGTTCCCTTGGACAGCCTTGGCGAAAGACCAGAATGCACGTGTTCCTGAAGGGAGGCGAACTAGTTTCTCGTCAATTCTGCCGATGTGCTCTGACTTTGCCCTGGCAATGACACTTTTGAAGGACCTGGAGGCGGAATTATATTTCTTTTTAAGAGCGCTGGTGTTTACATCCCGGCACGTTGATGCGTCAGTCCAGACCCGGTAACACTCCTGCTTATAGCGTGATGCAATTTTACAGGAGTGACCAAACCGTGGTTTAGTTTTGCCTCCGATGGGCACCACAGATGATGGAATAAATAATTACATTCCCTGAAGTACCACATCAACGACAGAATCAGCAACAACGTTGGGATCATCCGGCGAGAAGCAAACCTGCCCCCAGGGGTAGGATGCAAAAAAAGACCGCATCCCGTACCAATCGGCCGACCTATAGTGCCAGACACAGCGGCAAGTTGCAGATCGCAACTGCGATTTGAGCGTGAGTGGCACCGTACTCCGAATCAGACAATGGTCTGAAGAGCTAATCGACGGAGGCCTGACATCCGCCCGGATGAGAGGTCAGCAGAAGGTCCAACAGGGAAGATACATAATCCTCCACATCGGGGATCCACGTAGGCAAAGTAACCAGTTGTGTCAGACCATATGCCAAGGCAAACTCATAAACGGATCTACCTGCATGATCGGTTAAACGGTAACCAAGCGATTCAGCGTGGTGGGCGCTAAAATCACCGAGCATCACGATCTTTGCGAATGGGACCTGTTGTAGCACGGAGTCTGCAGCCATTTGAACGTGATGAGTCGGTCTGTATCGGCATTTCCGTCGTTCCCCCCCCCCCCTACCCCCTCCCAGAATACGCGGAGCAGACTGAGCACCCACGCTTATAAAAAGGGTAGCTTGGGCGTGGATGCTCAGCGAGGGATTCTCCAGGGATGCTGGTACCCTCCTGGGGTAGTCTTCCATTTAATTCCGCAACCATGTTAATAGGTGATGGGGGTGGGAGTGGGGAAGAATTGGGCCTCCGGCCACCTGCGCTCACCAGGCGTAATGCAGAAGTAAAGTAAGATAGCGTTATGCTAAGATAGTTGTTAACTTATTAATTTTACTAACTAACAAATTATCTAAAAACGGTTGAACTTGTTGGAAAGGGTCTTTTTTTATTAATCGTGATCTTACCTGTTCCTGATCTTTATAAGGCGCTTCAGGAGCGTAGACCCGTAACACGTCGGCGATGCAACACGCGATGAGCAGCTGCACGTCACGCGAAGGATGCGTGAGGAAGAACTCATCGGCGAGGTGAATCGCCAGCGGAATGAACTGCTGGTACATACCCTCATCCTGACCCAGACCCTGCAAGGTGTGAGCCAGGGCCTGAAAAAACAATGATAATTTAAATGGAATTATATTACATATTTAAAAATAGCCCTGTAAGATCTGGGGGGGGGGGGGGGAATTGATATCGTTCAACCTGGAAAGGACCACGCTCTCACATAATACCAGAGTAACATATGATGAGTGTATAGAACCGGAGATCCTTTTTACTGGAAACGAGGCATTTCAACATGGTCCTCAGGGATCAACGCATTTGCATTTTGATCCTCAATCGTGGATAGATGTAGACGTCTATGGGATACAGCACATAGTTACCATCAGGTGGAATATATGCTCGTTTGTTAGCCTTATGCTATAAAAAATAAATCGGCATTATAGTGCGTTTTTAGGCTTTCAGTGGTTTGATTTAACAGTGATTGTAATCAGGTTTAAGAATGGAAAGTTTCGGTGGTTTGGACACGTAGAGCCAATGAAGGAAGAAAGAGTGACAAAGCAAATTTATGCTACTGAAGTGAGTGACCGAGTCAGCAAGGAAAGCCCTAGAGTCTAGACGATAGTTTAGACCAAATTGTCCAACTTTATAAGAAGGGCCAATCGACAAGCAGATATGTGTAGACAGATGGATGTGAAGGAAGCGTGAGAGGTGTGTCAGGATCGTGCCAAATAATAGTTTGTAGTCCATGCCCCTTTGAGAAATAAGAAAGTGAGGGTTTTTTTTACAGGATAAAGGTGACAAACGAGCACACAGTCCACCTGATGGTAAGTGGTTGCTGCGGCCTATAGACATCTACATCTATACTCTATTACAAATAAAAATGCAGATGCGTTGTCACTCGTGAGGACTAAGATGGAAAGCCTCATTTCCAGTAAAAAGGGTCTCCGATTCTCTACACTCACCATACAAAACACAGCAGCATTAAGCTGCTATTTTACGCTGTTATTCAGTGAGAGGGTGGTCCTTCCCCGTTCAAGCCGACCCATTCGTGCTACAATGATACAACAATATACCAGTAATATAGCTGCAGCATGGCTCTACCACGTAAAAAAAATTATGTTTTCTTCTTAAAATCCACTGCTAAACATGGGCCTCTTACGTTGTAAGGACTCTCACCCTACTCGTCACGCTTGGCAGGTGGAAACCACAATACCAGACGTCTCGCACCTTTGACGCTACCTGTCGCCGGTCTTAATATCTTACGTCTGCTATAAACAAGATACAAGTCCCGGCACGTAAGTCTAGCGCTGAAAAACGTGGAAGAGACGCGCAAATCAAATACATGTTCTGTGCCGGATTCGAACCCGCGGCCCCAGCGTTGCAACTCATTGCTAAACCATTGCGCCACGGAGCCATCAATTTGCTGACAATAAAAACTTTATTGTTCAATGTGAGCAAGGTTAATATGCAACATCGAGGAAAATTAATACTATAACAACGTGAACGTCTTTAAAACTCAGATGATTTACCTACTTACCATTTTAACCGAATTCAAAAAAGGAGGAGGTACTCAATTCGACTGGGTTTTTTTATTGTTTCTTTTACCAAACTTTTTCTAGGTGAATCGATTTTGATGATTCTATTTTTATTTGAAAGCTTGTGCTTATAATTTATACATCCCATATAAATTTGATCAAGATCTGACTGAGGAGCTTTGGAGTGCGTCCTTAATAATGCGTATTATTTATATTGAAGTCGGTTGTACAAAATTTTTAATTTCATTAGTTGTCTCTCCTCTTCCTCTCTTTTTAAAAAACGTTACCTCCACACTAGAATTTTCTCCTGTATCGCAAAGACAGTTTATATACATAGAACAGACTCAGAACAATTATTTCGACCAAGTGGTAAACCAATAACGAGTATATTCTGATCTTGCATTAGTAGGCAGTCACTAGTACCGGGAGGTCTACTTACAATGAACTATTATTTAAGGTCATTGGTTTATACGCGAAAAAATCGAAAACTGCGAAGTTGTGGTCGGGTCACTAATCAAATAATAAATCTGAACTATGGCGTCAGTAACTCAGTACCTAATTATCTAGCTCTACCTATAAATAATAATATAATATTACATTTCGGTATCCTTAGGAACAGTAAAGAATGAAAAGTCGACATTCGTATTGTTATTTAAATACCCGTATGCCATGCAATAACTTTTGGCTTTTTGAGAGGCCATACTTGAATAAAAACTCAAAAATAAATATCAAAAGCGCCTAAATACTTATTATAGAAAAATAATTTCATAAGGATCGCGTCAGCTAGAACAGGAGCGTGATAAGCTCACGGAATTAGCCCCGCATGCGGGACCGCGCAGTGTGGGTATATTTTCAAGACTAAAGCGCGGAGTAAGACAGGCCTGACATTACCGCAAATTGCAGAATATTTGTACATAGTTATGCTATTTATATTAAGCGTTAGATTAGAACAAATAATTGTATCGAAAACAGATAATCGTATATAAACAGTATCCCTTTTAAAGCTATTTATAGATATGCCGAAATACACAAACACTGCTTAATTTTAAGATGCCGATAATGTTGTATCTATCTATTTAGTCAAAGTGAATGTGACACCACAAGATTTAATATGTTAAAATTACCGTTTGAGTATTTGGCCATAAATCACACTAACGCGTGCTTAAAATGGCGTAAACAAACAAGCAAATAATACATTATTTATTACGATGATTTCCAGGCTAACTATGGCTTTCGTTAACATGATGAGATACGAAGATAACGAAGGAGATACATATGTTTGAGTGCTCAGCACTCAGCACTCTCCCCCAGTAAACCCGGAACGTAAAAAAAAATGTCATAGAAGTGCTAAAACTTAAAAAGAACATTTTTAAATCTTTTTGAGTTTTCGGTTTAACCTACTAACAATTCTTACTGATATAGATATTTGTCAACGAGATAAATATAAAACGCCATCATAAGAAAATTGTAGTGGCTGTTTTTTTTAAAGAAAAAAGAAAATCTGTTATTTTTCCACAAATGTGCATCATCCGAAAGTTCACAAAATAACAGTAATATGTCAAACAACCACGAAACACTTCACCTAACACCACAGCTATATCACGAGTACCTAATCCCCAACTGTAGGAAATGTCAGCAGCGGACTACTTACGGGTTAACGATGAACAAACATAGATTTTAGATAAAATGCCTATTAAATCCTATTTCCCATTGTTGTAATAAAAGCAAAATGTGCAGTTTACATTGCGCAGGTGTTTATGACGCCTCGATATTACAAATAAAAATAACGAGGCTCCCCATTTTTATTTAAGACGTATGACGCCATATGTCTTACGTTACCTTGACACGATAATTTTGCAACTCAGCAAAAATCAATATGCAGATAAAGAATCTCCATGTTGTTTTATCTGTTCTTTTTAATCCTTTATGACTTCGAATATAATGTATATACATTAATAGGATTAAATAATCAATACATATAAATAAAATCGAAGTGTCTGTCTGTAATATTGAAATAACTGGCTTTTATTAAGCTAGGGGTCAGGGGGTTACTTAAAAGCTGTTGAGACATAAATAACAGTTTTTAAAAATTACTGTTTGTCCAGGCTAATTTTCGGCATGGTTGATCCGAGTGTGATGAAACTTTACGAATAGATAGAGAGTCACGCCAGGAGGGATCTAGGTTATATTTTATCCGTTAGATTTATTTAAAAAGAAAACTAATAATTTATAAAATGAAATAAGTGGTCTTTGATTATCTTCACAAGTCCACTGCTGAACATAGGCCTCCCCCAAGGAATGCCACAAAGCACGATCCCGAGCCACCTGCATCCATCGACTTCCTGCATATCTTACCTGGTTCTGTCTAGGAGAAGCCATGGTGTATACACCTTTTTGTACTTAAGAATAGATCAAATATTAATATAGTTTTTTTTACTTCTACTGCTACTTGTACTTTTTTATTGCGGAATCATTTCGTCTAATCCAATCAAGTAGTACATCGGCATGCAAAACGAGTCCACCCGTTAAATTTTCACTTATTAGTTAATTGACCATAAATAATGCCACAAAAGTAGTTATGGTGATTAGCTTGCCATTGTTTCCCTCATTTGCAATCATAAAGTTCTGGAAAACGTACGTGTGTACTTAACAATGGGCTAAAAGCGCAAAATATCTTGCTTTTAGCTGAGAAAGGAAGGAATAAATAGAGCATTTCTGTTGTTTTAGTCATTCAGTTGAAATTAATTTCTTGCACGACACTTTCATCTTGATTTGCGACTATGAGGAACTATGTATAATATGTATCTAACCGAAGTTGCGCTCGCTGTAAGTTTCACAGTACGCGAGCAACCCGGGTTCGATCCCGCCGGCACTAATGAAATTGTTAATTGCAATTTTAAGTACTGATTTACCACGTCCTCGGCGGTGAAGGAAAATATTGTGAGGAAACCTGCATGTCTGAGAAATAAGAAAACAAAATATTTCGAAGACATGTGAAGTTCACCAACACGCATTCGGACAGCGCGGAGGACACATCCTTGACCTAAAACCCTCTCAGAAATGAGAGCAGGCCTGTGCCCAGCAGCGGGACGTATATAGGCTGTAACTAACTAACTAACCGAAGCTGAATCTTCTCGAATACTGTCTGCTCGAAACCGAGCAAAGTCAAAGTCCAGTGTATAGAACTCTTTCTCTATCTCTCTCTCTCTCTCTCTCTCTGTGAGTTGTTCTCCGGTCAAGGAAGTGTACAATCGATAAGTGCAAGCTGGTGGTTTTATAAGAAGTCGCGGTTATGCTCGAAGTAAAGCCACATCAGAGCATGAATCTTCTTATTACTGGTAGAGCTATGCTGCAGCTATATTAGTAGTATAGTTGTAGCACGAATGGGTCGGCTCAACCGGGGAAGGACAACGCTCTCATAGAATACCAGCGTAAAATAGCAGCTCAGCGCTGCTGTGTTTCGTATGGTGAGTGTAGAGAACCGGAAACCCTTTTTACTGGATAAGAGGCATTCTATTTTAGTCCTCACGGCATTTTAATTCGCAAACGAATTAAATTGTAATGTCCAT